AAATCATTATTATTATTGTGTTAATTCCTTTTTAAAAACATAATATCGAAGGTTTCTGGCTCAGGCGAATGGTTTTCATATTTTTGCCCTATCTGCGATAGAGAGTTTAAGTGAGGAGCCTACATTATCCCTGTGGTCATTATCTTCAGTGCTAAGTTCAGTATGAAGTTAAGTCCTTAAAAACCCTCAATATACATGAAATATTCCCCTTTCCTGGTTACCTTGTCTGTGGTCGGTTGTATCCAAAGATTGAGTTATCATTACATCCACTTATTATATTACTATTGATACTCTCGCTAACTTGATATTTTGCCATTTTAATGGTGTGACTTTACTGACTGATGTACTTGGGTAAGAGTAGAAGACGAGAGGCTTGGCAATAGCATGTTTATCAGGAAATTTGATACCTCTATATAGCCAAATTATGTACTAGAAAAACTTGATAAGTCATCAGCCATAGATGGTGGTCTACACGCTATAGAATCAGGTCACAAAATTGGTTTTGACAATATTGAAATAGTTATCCAGAAAAAGCATTTCAGAAATCACAAAGAACGTCTAATATCATCAGAAACCCTTCATATCAAATGAAATATAAATTGTCTGAAAAGGAATGATGGACTAAAACAGAATTTGACCTGGTTACAACACCTTGTTCCCGCTCCATGAAGTGACGAAATCAACACGAGTGTGATAAGTAATTTCATCATGTAAACACACGCTGTTTTTTTTTTATAATTTTACACACTTAACAAATCCAACAATCTACACTTGATTTTGTTATCTTTACCAGTTAGCCAATTTGACAACGAAAAATGACCCCAGACTGACGAACAATGATCAAGTTAGTAAACTTTATTTTGATATCATAACAGATATACTATTACCTTTATTATTTGGTTTAGTGATCTTCATTGTTACTTTGACTTTCAATATGTCCTCCTTTTAACTTGACCTAACTTGTCTATTTTCTCACCTCTTAACTCTTTGTTATATATAAGCTGAGTCGATTTTGTAAATTCCGGTTTAATAATACTTTGATAAAGCTATTAGCAGCATAAAATAGCAAAACGTCAGTAAAAACAGAAATATCGTATAATTATATTTCAATAGTTTACACACAATGATAAGTTTTGTTATTGGTAATATTTCGAGCAAAATTACTACTGCCTGTGTTCACACCACTGAGAGAGAAACTAAAAGAAGATTATGGCCTAAAAGACAGAACATAGTTGTCCGTAGAAGAGATAATAAAAGGAGTGGAATTCTGTCTGACAACAACGACATATTTCACATTCGAAGGGAAAATATACCAACAAAATGAAGGAGTAGCTATGGGATCGCCCATCTCATCAATAATAGCTGACATATTCATGGATTATTGGGAAGAGAATGCCCTTAAACCATTCAGGTCATCACTAAAATGTTGGTAGAGATATGTAGACGACACACTAGTAATAGTGAAAAAAAACGATACTGAGAAACTTTTCTCACACATAAACAGCAATGTTGACCCAATAAAATTCACTATGGAAATAGAGAATGAAATTGGGGAACTCCCTATGTTAGACTGCGAACTACAAAGAATGACAGATGGTAGCATAAAAACGACGATATATAGAAAAACAACACACCCTGGAAGATTCCTTGATTATTACTCAGCTAATCCACTCACGGTAAAACGAGGATTAATACAAGGTCTTGCAGATAGAATACGTTAACTTACAACAACACCAGGGGACCAGTGTAAAGAAATAAAAGTCCTATTCAAAATGCTACTCGAAGACAACTACCCGAAAGAATTTATAAAAGATAATATAAAAAAGAGAAAAAAGATGGTAAGACCAGAGAATAACAAGATGGAAGAATGGAAAAAGACAGTCACAATGCCACATAAAAATGGTACATCCGAGGCAATTCAAAGAAACCTCAAAAATATCGGCATTCGAACAACGTTTAAACCGACAAAGCTAATCAAAAATAGAATAAATCCACTGAAAGATCCCATAAAAATGATAGATAAAAACAATTTGATTTACAAAATATCTTGTGCTGACTGTCCAACTAAATGTGTGGGGCAAACGTCCAGATCACTCAAAATAAGAGTGAACATAATTCCATATTAGTTTGATTATTAAATGTATCACACAGTGAAACAGTATTGTATACTGGATGACGTTTCGAACATAATTTATTGTTCATAATCATATCGATTTTTGTCACACGACTTCGAGATTTGATTTTTATAGTTTTCTCTGTCTTCTCCTATTTGTTGTATGGGCAGTAGAATTTTCCATATATCTGGGACAGGTGTTGAATCATTCCTATTACATGTATTCTTTCTCATTTGATTCGATAAACAAAGCTTCTGTTGTAATCAATCTCTCTCTATACCTTGTGACATTAGATTTTAAAATTGTCACCCTATCCCATCCTATCGTATGGTTGTGTGTAACTGCATGTACTAAGTGCTATAGCTGAACTATTCTCTAGATTTCTTATCTTATTTGGGTCATCAAATGTAGATTTTGCTAGGTTTTTGTGCTCGGCTAGTCTGAATGCCCCTGTTCTACTAGTTTGACCTTTGTATTTGACCTGACAATCATTCTAGCTGGGTATTAGATAAGCTAAATTGTTTTGTTTTAAAGGCTCCACAGGATTGATACTTTAACCGACAAAGCTTGTTTCTGATTGAGTTTGTGGGTGGTTTGAATGCCAGCCACTGACTATGTTTTTATGCTATATACTACTGATAAATCTTGTCAGTAGTACATGCTACACTTGATTTATATCAGCATATCTATTATCTGCAAATTAATGTGAATGCCAGGCTTCTACGAATTATGTGGAATTAATTTTCTGGATGGATAGTGCCCAGAAGTGGGATCCAAGATGCACCACATTTCATCCCACTTAGGACTCATCATCTGAATGTACCTGCATTTCCATTGAGTGATGGTGGCGCCCCCAATGAGGCTCAACCTCATCACCTATCGTTTTAAATGCCAAAGCTTTATCCACTAGACTACTTGGGCCACGAGAGTCACTTCTTGTGTAGCAAGAGTCAGATATTTCTTATTGTTAATTCAATTTTAATTTCCTCATTGATTGACGGGATTGAAATGTTTGGCGTCTGCTGACATGGAGGCTCCTAGTGCGGATGCTTCGACGATGTCTGATTACTTGAAGTTAATCATTAGACGTCGTCGAAGCATCTGTAAAACTGAATTAAAAATTATCTGGAATTCTTTGTGTTCCCTCTGTCCAAGATATTTATGTTATTCAGGCTGAATTGATGTCTGCAGTTCTTCATGTAAAGTGGTATGAATACATGTTACCCGGTTAATGTTCAAAGAAGGGAAGATGAAGAGGACATACACTGTTAATCAAGTATTGGTCAGTCTTTAACCTGACATAAAACATAAACGATTTTAAAAACTGTTGTTGACCAAATATTCAGATACAGTTTGCGTCAAAATACATGTAATTCCATGTTCAACAGCTTCATAAAAAGCCTGTTCACCTGCTGAAAAGATGATTTCTATTCACATAAAGATTCGTTACAGTCTGAGTAAAACACATGGATTCAGTGGGATGTCTTTACTCTGCTACCACTTTCAAATGGTTATACAGATGCACACAAGCTTTCATTTCCTCTTCACTTAGTCTTCTTCATGTCATTCCAGGAATTCCAATTCATTGCTTTCCACTCATCTTCTATTTGAGAGCCTACCGGGCGTATGATTTCATCCAATGGTGTCCTCAGTGTACACCCAATCCCTTTCCATTTTTCTTCTGCATATTTGTGAGGCAATAGATTTTTGATAGGTTGCCTACCAGAGTTTCATAGGTATACTTTTGTCATCCGCTATCTGACCCTCACTATCGACTGAGGGCAGGTGTTTACAGTTTACTGGAAACGCGTTTAGCGTATGCCCACATTCTTTAAGAACTTAGTGATGAAAACTCGAACGTTGTTAAGCACTGTAGATTTGTATACCAATTTAGCGGTAATGAATCGCTGCCTTGTCTTATCGATCCTCATCCATGTGGCCTGTAGTTACAACAGTATTTTGGCCGGGGGTAAATCAGCCATCAAAACTGAAGGAGCCGAGTAAGGTTAGAGTCAGTGTTAAACTATAACGTTCCAAGGAATATGAACGTACGAGTGACCGCAAGCTGACCAACCATTAAAATAAACGATTTTTGCACAAAATTGACGTTTATTTACAAGAAAATGCAGGAAAACATAGTAAACAAGATATTTTTCTCTGACACGACCTGAAAATAGCTCGTAATTATAATTTGGAGTATCAGTTTCTAGGTTAGACGTACACGTATTCACCTAGGTGGGCTTTCTTGTGACCCATTCATCGCTCTTATCCTGATTTGAAATCTTCCCCAAAAGCCCCTAGTTGGATTACTATGGTTTCCAGGAAGAGGATCAACGACTACTTACTAGGAAAATGTGGATAATAAAACAAATTAAGATAAATAATACCAACTCCTAGCCCTAACGATCTGTTAAAACCTTGTCCAGAGAGTAATTAGAAAAGTGATCTAGGTGAAATTTTCTCATTAGTTGGTGAGCAGCGCTCATATTTGCGCTATAACGACGACAAGTATCCTTATCCAACGATTAGCATGAGTTCAACGTCATTAGAGCTTTCGCACTCCTGGGACCCTACGATTTAACTTTACCAGGTGAAACATATCATTCAAACTAAACTGGTACCTTTCATCACAGTTAGTGTTTACCAAAACTGGATTTACCTGACTTGACTAAAACAGGATTACAGGCAGGTGATGAAAGTTATATGGAAAAAAAGCCCCGCCCGATTCAAATTGGTGGGAAGACAGACTTTGAAATGATCCTAATGATTTTCCAAAGGATCATTCATAACAAAACCAAATCAAAAACCAAAAAAAAAAAATGAAACAAACAAGAAGTTAACTAGATCAGAAAGTCCAAATAAACAGATAAACTGTGCTACACTTACCTCTGTGAGTCCAGATAACTTCAACATTTCTCTAGGATTGCGACCTTCATTGTAAATTAATCGAGGTAATCGCAGACTCATAATAACCGAATAGAATTTATTTCGAGTCTATGAGAGAGAAACAAAATGAGCAGTAAGCATTGAATGAAATCGAAAAATGTAACTGCGAAACATGATCTTCTCAGGGAAATTTACAAAGAGAATACTATTATTATTTTATCCTTTAATTCCTAGAGTAACATAGGGCTTCAGCCGCGCGTCTCCATTGCGTCCGGCTTCCTGTCAACGTTTTCACCCCACTCCAAGTCTGCCCACATGCTTTCATCTCCTCTTCACATGACCACCTCCAAGTCACCCTTACACTGACGACCAACTCGCCGCTTCCCTTTCGGGTTCCACTCGAGCAATGGCTTGTCTGGTAATGTCACTCCCTTGATGGTTTCCTCAGAGTATGGTCAATCCAATCCATCTCCATTTCTCTCTGCATGCATATTTGTTTCACAATCGGTTCCTGATTGGTTTGCTCACTGCCAGAGATCCCTTTTGTTGATCTTTTCTGGCCGGCCATCTGATCTTGAGTAGTATTGAGCGAAGACAACTGTAGTTTCTTCGAAGTGATCTTCATGATGCAGCGCCAAGTCTCTGATCTGCATGGAGTAGCATTGACTTCACATTGGAGTTGAGAATCCGCATCTTATTTTTGATGCTGAGTGCTGTTTACCCCCACACAGACTTGAGACAGTTTTCCTTAAATTCGGAAGCTAACTATGCTTCTCGAGAACAGACACATGTTTCAAATCAACTGTGTGAAGGATTAATCCAGTGAGAAAGTGTTAATTACCAAGGTCCCTCAGTCACAGAGTTAGAGCTATTTGCTCAGAAGAAGTAAATGAAGATAAACTAAGGATTGTGTATGACACCCTAGTTGAAAATAGCTATCCAGAGAGGCTTATCAAGAAACACATAACCAATGGTGAGGAAAAGGACTATCCTCCATTTGTAAATAAGAAGCCTTTATACATACGAATGCAATTCAAGGGTGATGCACTAAGTGAAACAATTATCAACAAGTTAAGAAAATTTACTCAAAGAACTTTTAATGCTGGTAAACTGTAAGTCATATTTTTGACACGATCGGTCGTTATTCCTCAATTGAAAGATGACGTACCTAGACTAGACTAGCCACTTCTAATTGTATCCACCAGTTTAACTACGCTTTTGGTGGGCAGTTCCTCTAGGAACTTGACTTTTCCTGCTTACTCGGGAATACCTACCAGTGTGGCTAAATAAAGGTGTAGTAAAAATGATGAACAGTTCGATATTAGGCCACCTGGCTCAAACTGATCACAAAGCCGGCATTGAAGAATCCTTCTCTATCATCTGTTGGGTACCAAATAAACTGCCAATAACAACCAGGCATCGCATAATTCAAATAGCAGAGGCTATTCCGATTCGCGTGAAACAACCAGTGCTTTGTGTGCAGAAGAAGCAAATCCACCCGCTACTACTACCCAAGCCAGCCTTCAGTAGAGACTATAGATTCATGAGTTTGTACTAATATTTTTCCTAGTTTGTGCGACATTCAGTGTATTGTTATGTTGATGCTTTCGAACTGTAATCCATCGATATTATCACTATTGACTCGATGTTATTTAAACAACATTAATGTTGTTCATAACACTAATTCATTCACTATTATGTATGTAAAACTGTAGAACCTGATGATGAAGTTATCGAAAAGAGTATTCTTTGTTCAGCAACCGCCATTTTGAAAAGGATGCTAGCTTTAATTACAGTCAAAATCTCTCAATATCTTCTGAAAGCATCACTGGATATTATGAGCGTCACAGAGGCACAGTAGCTTAGTGAATATCTCCCCAGTGTTTGTCGGTGGTTTACTGATAAAACAGCTACCAGTCACACAGGTGATCTGCATTCGATTCCAAGCAGATGCGCACCAAAACTTCTCCAAACCAGAAGAAGGCCTGGAAAAAAAGGAAATCGCATGTGGGGCTAACAACCTCACTTGGTAAAAGTAAGACACGTACTGAAACTTCAATGCTCCACTAGGAAAGTAGAGCGAATGAAATAACAAGTATTACAAGGAGATTCCTTAGAGTAATACAAGTATTGATGCCTACAATGACAAGATTAATCTTGACTATTTCAAAATATTTTGATGATTTGAATGGTATTCTAAACATGCGTTTTCTTTGCGATCCTTATTATCGCCTTCATTATTATTATTACTGGTGACGACATTTTTGTTTACCATTATTCCCATGGGTTCCTAGTGAATAATAAGGCTTCAAAAGCACATCCTCATTCCACTCTGTTCTCTACAGTCCTCTTTAGATTGCCTCACAATTGTCCATAAGCTTCCATCTTCTCATCACGCGATCTCTCACATGTCACCCTTGAAACCTCAATTCGTCATCTTTCACTCGCGTCCCATTCGAGTGATGGTCTGGCGTGTGATTTCACAAAACGGTTTCCTCAACATGTATCCGGCCTATCTCTACATTCTTCAGGTTCTTGATTGATGTATTCCCTGAGTTTCTTATTGCTGATTCCTTTTGACTGGCCATCTGATCTTCAATATGGAACCAGCGAAGGTAGGTTTGTTGATAATAGTCTGCAGTGGCCTGTTTGAAATGCTTTCCATGACGCGGCAGCAAATTTCCTGAACTGTATAGAAGAAGAAATAACTTAACACCACACTTGAAAATCTGAATATCCTTCTTTATGCTGAGTTCAGAAGATTTCTAAACTGATTTCACAGTGATGGAAGTTTGCCTTTCCTTTCCAGCTCTGGTTTTGACACCTTCATCCTTAGTGTCAACTGTAGGTGAAACGATGCTTCCTAGTTAAATGAAGGAAGTAACCTCCTCTTTCAAATTTGTCTCCTTGATAGTGATCGCTGCCGGTTGTTGTTGCTGTTGGTGGTTGGTTGGTTATCTTCACCACCTTCATCTTATCTATGTTCACTTGAATATCTGTCTTCGCTGGCTGCCTCCTCCGCCGCCAGTTTGTTGGTTATCGCCTGCAAGTCCTCGAGTTTGACTGACATTAGACATAAATCATCTCCGAAATCTAGATCTTCTAGGGTCTACTTATCGGTGGTCCAACGTATTCTTATCTTCTCGCTTCTCACCATTTTCCGCATAATCCAGCCCAACCACGGTTAGGAAGATCATCGGTGATAGTTGTGGGTAGCCTCATCTTTTACGCCTGTCTTCACTTCAAATGTCCCCCTGAGTTTTCTACTGTGGATCACTTGATGTGTGGCACTATCATATAGCCATTAAAATTTCATGAGACACAGTTAGCTTACCTTAGTTTCAAAATTGAAAAAGTAATTAGAATTATTCTCGAGAAATATCTCAATAGCTGAACGACGCAGATTATATCGACGTAAATGTATTTCACGTATTTTTGACAGGGACCATGTGTAACGAATACAGAAGACGTCGGTGGCTAAGAAACAAAATAAATAAATAATTAATAAAGAACAAAGGAAAATATATAACACAAGAGAGTGACTATTATTTTTTTTATTTTTGATTACAGCTTGATTCCACGCTGTATTTTTGGTACAAGTATGGAATTTTCAGCATGTGATATATCGGCAGCCCAAACTTTGCAGGCCGACCATAGACATCAGGTGTGCGTCGGCGTAGGCTCAAACCTAGGACTATGTGCATGGTAGGCGAGAGTCCTGACCACTGTGCCACTGACGCACATCACCTGTGAGAGGTCACCAGTATCACGTGTCTGGTTCTTAGTCTTGGCGGTGACTATCAGTCAATCTCTTCTAATGTAGTCGCCAACCCTGAAGACTCACCATCACGATAAATTTTTTTTAACCAATTTTAGGTAGGTTTCACCATTACCGGTGTGGCCTATACTACTGATAAACCTTATCAGTGGTAGATAAAGAGACGTTCATCAGCAAAAAAAACATCAAATAACAGGGAAATAAATTCTTCAGCTCCATCGCCAACACTAGTGAGCTTCCGTCGGTTCCCAAATTTGAGGCATAGAACTACCGCATCGCCAGATGATTGTCCATCATGCTCACCTGACCGCCCCACACTGTCATACGCCGCCTTTGCTTGGCCTCTCAGCGACATCCTCAACATTACCACCTTCGCCATCGGATCACTGACGCCCACCAATTCAGCGATAGCATCAAAGTCCCACAAGAAGCTCCATGTGTCTTCTTCCTCGAAAGCAGCCGGCCATGAGATCTTAAATGCCTGAAGACAGAGACACTAAGTGTAACGGTGAAAGACGAGAGACTTTGTAAGGCAGGTTTGTTTGCAATTTAGTATCTCTACATAGCAAAATCATGTACACCTCATCTTCAAATTACCATTTGCACGGATCTTCCGTGTGTTGTACTACTTCTCGCCTTCATATTATGTTTTCTTTGTGCTCCTTACACGTCTCCCACGTTTCTCCATAACGCCATATCATTTACCATCTCTGACATAAGATCTGTCTGCCTGCTATTTCATAGTTTTGTGCAAATGAACATCTCTTCATATCCTACAGATAAATTTTATCACTAGCACACGCAACACCGGCACCCATCAGCAAGACGTATCTGCAACTTACAAAGAACTGATATCCCCCTGCTTCGAGTTCTGAACCTAATCCTGCAGTAAAGCACACTACTACCAAGTTATTTGGCCCGACGATTGAGTTTTCGTAAGACAGAAAGGTCCTGGTGTAAACAGTGGGTTGATAGCTAACCGTTTAAATGTCTTCTGATATATTACAACAAATAATCATACTCTCTATAGCAGCAAAACTCTTTATCTTAATGTATGCAGTCATTCGAAATTTTTTCAATCTACTCAACAGTCTGTGTTGTAACTGATTGATCTAGTGGATAACCGTTTTGAGCAAAGACAGTTCAGGAGGAGAATGTTCACCTGCCATGCATCTGGTCCCCGTTCGATTCTCCGCTGATACACTTCCAAGCCTTAACTCGTTTACTAGCTGATAGTTAGCACCTACAAAAGGAGGGAAGATATGGCATGAGGTTAGTATCCCTCCTCACCTCACACGCTGTAAAAATCAACGCCATCACTACCGAAAATCTTCAAAGATTAAACCATGAAGCTCTATGTCCCCTCTTCTGAACGCAAAAGGACGAAATTGAACAAACAATTGAACAAAACTTCTGCAGACCATATTCATTATGATATGATTTACTGTAGTAGGGGAATAGTAAAGGGTCATAAGGGATGAATAATCAACGAGCTCACTTTGTAACCTGTAAGTCACAGGTTCAATCCTCGATTGGGACATGGATACGCTCTGTCGTAGAAAGAAGCAATTGTCAAGTACACCCTGGTTTCCAATGGTTCCTTAAGTGGTCAAACTGGTAATGGAGGTGAATCAACCACACATACCAATGAGATGCTCACTGGCGACTGGCCCTATTCAGGTAGGTAGTTACCTGGGTTCTAGTGGGAAGTCGTGACCAGTAGGGTGCAGCTGGTCGGGTGTGAGGACAAATACTCGCCGAAGACATTGGCTAGCGGTCACGTTATGTCGTGAATTGGCAGAAGTTAGAATTCAAGGACCATTGGATCGGGTCCCAGTGGCTTAATGGTATACGAGCTCGACTTGTAACCGGAAGGTCCTGGGTTCGAATCCCGGTAGGTGGGTACTGCTGAAGAGTCTCAAACTAGGACGAAACATGTGTCCAGTACTCCCAGCTGGTTTTCCAATGGTTCTCTAACTAATGTCAGCTCATGATGAAATCCTGAAACATATATAAATGTTTATGTAACTTAAGCAATAAGTGAACTTACAATTAAGTGATTTCGTCTCATTCTCATTGACTTTTCGATGAACAATTTTATATCCAGATGGAATAAACAAATGAGTACTAATCGGTTCAAGATAATTACTACTACTTTTAGTATTATTATTATTATTGTTATTACTATTTTTGTTATTAGTAGTAGTATCACTTCTATCAAGTGATAACATTAAACTATCCACTGATGCTTCAAATATTAGCCGATTTTGTGATAAAGTTAATATCCCTTCGATAACTTTGATGGCTGTAACTAGTTGAGCATTAACACTTAACAGGATACCTTTGCCTTTTTGTGTTTGTGGAGATTGTTTCTGCGCCTCGCTGGATGTTTGTGATGTTGAATTCGATGTGGGATTATTTTCATTGGCTTTAGTCTTAGCCACTGGTACAGTATTCTTTGATAATTTAGACTTGTCAGTATTATCATTATCAATGGTGGTACTAATGTCAGGTGTTGCTTGTTTGAATTCGTCAGAATTATTGGAACCTCTTCTTTGTGAGAATCTGTCAAAATTGGTCACGTCAAGAGTCCTGAAGAAATAAAGAAGAGAATAACATATATTAGATGAACTGGTAATGTAGATAATTGAAACTTTGTCTGTCAGTCTGTTTTCGACATAGAACTTTGCATCGATGTGCAGCACTTCAAATAGCCACACTCCATGTAGTACACAACACAAGAGGAGAAAGTAGAAGAAATGAATAATAGAGACAGTAAACAGAGATGTGAGACAAAGGAATAGTAATAATGAAGAACGACTGATAACTGCTATCTTGACGTGGTGGTCGGGCTTGCATATCATGATGACTCAACAAGCTACACTGGCTGGAAGCAACGTTCCTGCAGGTCCTACCAAGCCAGGAAGATTGTTAGGATAGCGATTAGACTAAGAATTTCTCTTACACTATGCTGGTGGTGTATAGGCGACGTCAGACTGCTGAGGAACAGGGATGTAACAGCAATGTGGTGTTTCCCTCAAATGACCAGTATGCCAGTCACCTATGCTGTCCCTCCACTTTGGAGAGAGGGGTTTAGAAAAGGTCGACCCCAAAGATTGTACACCCCGACTTAACCTACGGTGGTCCGTAACCGGCGGAAAGTTTACTAATACGGAACCAAACCAAGAAACCAGTTCATACAGGCCACGTGTGACCGGCCTCAAACAGTTGTCCCCTGGGCTCTGTGGTCACACAACACTAACCCTCTCTCTATTTCATGTACCCGAAGAATCAAGCAACTTCCACAGTGTGGGCAGCCGGGAAGTAACAATCGCCCATACACTTCCAAAAAATTGAAACTCTAGGAAAACAGGAAGAAGGAACATGTAACAAAGAGTCTTCTGTTTAAGATACTGAACAGTTTGAACTTGTCAATTAACAAACACCTTATAGGCACAGGAGACTGAGTGACTGTACTTCTTTCCAAAATCTATACATCTTATTTATTATTCTATATATGACATCAATTATTTTGCCACTTGACATTAAACCATGATTATAAACACAAATATTTTAATTGCATTTCATAATACTACTATTATTATTTAATGTATTCACACCTTTGACCTAATTCCCTCACCGGATATTATATATATATATATATATATATATATACGATTCTACAGCTTGATAATAAACTCGCTGAAAAGAGTCTCTTCGCTGAATATAGTGTTCTTAATGGTACAATAGGAATTACTAAATTATAAATATATCTGCTACGATTGGTGATATTCGTGATCCACACCTATTATTACGTCTTCTATTTGTCAATATATATTTTGCCCTGGAATTTAAAGAAAATAAACTTAAGATCCTTCCAAAATAGCGTGGATTCCTGAGAAACGCAACCGAGTCGTAACAAACTCGTTGATTAGTATGAAAGATGGTTTGTTAAAGTGACCAATTTCAATTAAAAGAATAATGTACAGTCTATGTTTATTATGGAATAGTATATCAATGGCTGTATAAAACTGGTACCCTGGTACCAGGTTAATCAAATACGAATATTACTGTGTCGGAATGAATCATTGCCAGTTTACTTCCCATAAACTAACATTATCTTTACTGAGTTCATTTTGTCTAATAAAGATAATGAGTCTCTCCGTTGATATATTAGTTCCTATGCTCTATTTTTTTTGGTGAACGAAGTCTCGATGTGATATAGTTGATGGTAGCTGCCAGTCGAATCCAGTGAAATATTTTTTCAAGTATTGGTTTTGTAGGGATTTTGTTTGATTGCATGGAGGATTTAATCATGAGCTGACATCAGTTAGAGAACCACTGGAAAACCTGGGAGTACTGAACAGCTATGTCGTGAATTGGCAGAAGTTAGAATTCATGGGCTGGCCATTGGATCGGGTCCCAGTGGCCTAATGGTATACAAGCTCGCTGGCCTTGTAACCAGAAGGTCCTGGGTTCGAATCCCGGTGGGTGCGTACTGCTGAAGAGTCCCAAACTAGGACGAAACAGCTGTGCAGTAAGTACTCCCAGGTTTTCCAGTTGTTCTCTAACTGATGTCACCTCATGATTAAATCCTCCATGCAATCAAATATTTTTCCGACCTATTTATGACTCCTCAACTAAGCGTACACTATATTGTTAACGAATCCATAGTCAATTCGTGGTTAAACTCAGAAAATCTATCTAATCCTCACAAACCAACTATTGAGAACTGATCTGATATTCGCTAAAGAATTCCTATAGGACGGAGTATCCAAGAATTTTAGTGAGAAGTCGTGATTAATGAGATTCATCCAGTCAGACATTGGCTAGTGCCAGTAGCGCTAAAAATCATGAATTGGTAGAAGTTAGAAGTTAGTCATGGACTGGCCACTGTATTAGGTGGGTCTCATTGACTGAATGGTATACAAACTTGCCTTGTGACTGGAAGGTTTTAGGTTTAAACTCCAGTGGCTGAGAACTTCCGATGGTTCCGAAACTAGTAGGATGGAATAGCTGTCCAGTACTCCCTCGAGGCTGGTTTTCATTGGTTGTCTAAATGTTATCGATTCGTGGTCAAACTGTGAAAACGAATCCACATATCACTTCATTTTTTTGTTTTAGAATGGCATTCAGAATGTAGTAACCCATTAGCGCTCTCATTCAATTATCCCTTGATTACACGTTAACCGATTTCAAGATTATCTTGCCAGTAATGAATCTTTTTTCATGACCTCACCGTATACAATTTCTTAAAAAAACCATATATATATATATATATATATATATATACGATTGTACAGCTTGATAATATATCCCTCGAAAAGAGTTTCTTCGCTGAATTTTGTTTTCTTTATGCTACAATGGGAATTATTAAATTATAAATTTCTGTTTAAAAAAAAAAGGGAAAACAACCAACTTACGGAGTTTTTAAAGATAAATCTGGTATTAATGTCCCCCGTCTACTTTCATCCAGGAAAGATACTGGCGATGCGTCTTTTTGCATTTCATCATACTGAACAGTAGATTCTTCTTGTTCATCATATTCTTCAGTAGAAGATTGATTTGAAAAAGGTGGACGTTTAATAAAACGTTTCATCAAACGAATACTACTCTGATCTTCAATAATACCACTTCTATAATCCACTGTAAGTTGTGATGTTAAAGCAGCAGGTGAAGAAGATGTTTCCATTATCGATAAAGAATGTCGATTTGGTATATCAAGTGTACTGGTTGGCTTTTGATAATTCACCCCCAATGATATAGGACGTAGTCTGGATTGTAATACTCGGGCTAGGCTTAGACCATCTCTTTCAGCACTCGCTTCCATATGTGCATCGAAATGTAAATTTGGCTCGAGTTTTGGTCGCATACGACAAGCTGTTTCGAGTTCACATAATCTCCAGTGATCTATTTTTGCATAACTATAAAAACAACAATCATGGTGATAATAATGTTAGAAAGGAAGGAAAAAAATTGAGGATATTTGCAAAAACAGAGTAGAAAGGTAAATTCAACAATGGCGTCTCAAGAGATGCGAACGTATAGGTGACCTTCAGCCAACCAATCATAAAATTGAGGAATTTTTGCACAAAAATTGACGTATCTTTAGAAGAAACTGCATAAAAACACATTATACATGTTTTATTTCCCAGACATGACTTAAGAATACGTCCCAGTTTTAATGAGGAGTTTCAATCGCTAAGTTAGACTAATTTCTGTACACGTATTCACCAAGGTGACTGAAGATAAGCTGTTTTTGTGAATCGTTCATCTCTCTTATCCTGTTGTGCAGTCCTCCTCAAAGCCCTCTGTGGTTTCCAGTAAAAGGATCGACGACTACTTACCAGGAAATTATGGATAAGAAAACAAATAAAAATATATGACATCAACTCTAAATCTATCCCTAGTCGTAACCGTAACCATATCCCTTATCCAAATCGTAATTCTAACCCTAATCCTAACCCTAACGAGCTATTAACACATTGTCGAAACAGCACTGAAAACTGTGATCTTAGAGAAATTAGCTGCTTAGCTGGTGAATCAGCATTGATATTTCAGCTTTAATGATGACAGGTGCCGTTAGCCAACGAATAGTATGCGTTCAAGGTCACTGGAGCGTTGACACTCCTCAGACGCTATATTGTTGAACTTCGTCAGTAGAAATAAGTCAAACTCGTAGCTTGCAATTTAAGCAGTTCGTCGGTGATGGGTTGGGGGAGGGAGCGGTTGATACCCTAAATGGCGACCAAGATAGGTGAACGACATTATAAACAACACTGGTTGGTTCATTTAAGTTATTTGGACACTGCTTGGTAGCTTAACCGTAGAATGCTCACCAACCAAGCATGTTATCCGGAGTTCGATCCCGTGCCTGGCTCATTCCTTCACCTTGCTAGGCAAGTAGTAGGTCTGGTGACGAGAAAAGGCTAGGCATGAGGCTAGCGACCTCACTCCCGTAAAAATAGACACCACTATTAGAAAAACCTCAGATCTCTAGCTTTTGAAGCTCTTTGTTCCACAAGGACGTAAAGGAATACAATAATTAATAATAAAATACCTCATATCAACCAATAGTGCTTGCCAGCCAGTCCGATCAAAGTGATCTAATCACTAGGCAGCCGTTTCACTCATTTGGAGCCCAGCACATCAGTGGTATATTCACTGAGTTCTATTCAGCTAGAAAAAATCAGATCAGTTCAAACTACTGAATTCCCCAAATTATGAATGTCGTTTAGTTGGCCGCCAGTTTGACTAAGTAGGTAGACAGAATTCAAGTGGCTAAGTCAAAAAGTGGAACACACTACTGATGAGCTCTGCTCTGAACGAAAGAACAAACAAGCACTATTGGTTGGTGTGAATAGTGTCCAGATAATCATCTAAATTAGTCAGAATTATATAGCGTTGATGGCACAGTGGTTAGGACTCTCGCGGATCATGCACATGGTCCGAGGTTCGATACCCTGCCGACACACACCTGATAACTATGGTTGGCCTGCAAAATTTGGGCTACCGATATCCATGCTGAAAATTCCATACTTGTACCAAAAATACAGTGTGGAATCAAGCTATAATCAAAAATAAAATAAAAGTAAAAAAAGCTATCCTTGGTGTTACAGTGTCCTCTAGGCTGACTGGTTGAATAACCAGGCTTTCATAGTCCTCTAAAACATCTTATTTTAAAGTTAGCACTGAGAATGCTGCTTAGAAGGACAGCAGAAGTCTCGGAATTAAATCATTCATTCAACGCGACAAAATCACAACAGCACCAGAAGAAACCATTTGAGGTGCAAATTCTCCCTAACTTAACTGACGACAAGAAATTGTCTCAGCAAAGATTTTATCGAAAAATAACATCAGCTAGAGAACCACTAGACAATGAGGAACATAGGACAGTTCTTTTGTCCTTGTTTGAAACACTGACTTACCGTCTTTTGAATAGTTTATAGGGAAGTTATTTAAGTTGGTTTACCAACTACGTGAAGGGAAGAATTATATATTATTTAGTGGTAAATCGCTATTTCGTCTTCACAATGGTGTATTCCATTCCTAAGTGGATAGCAATAAAATTCAAAAATCGCCCTCGTTATTTTTGTGATTCGTCAGCCGATTGTGCGTGTATTCTTCTCCAGGGCAGTATGCATGTCGCCGCTGTGACTCGAACCCGATATCCGTCGCTTTAAACGCCAAACATCCAGTGTACGAAAATGAGGCTGACCACTTCGCTCCAAATACATCAGCCATAAATTATAAATATAAACAAAGGATTTCAAATCATACCTACTGAACAAGAAGAGGTGACTTTTGTGACCCATTGGCTTATTAGACAACGTTTTGACGTTCTAATCAATATTGCGTTTCTCATTTCATATATCAGCAGCCACTGACGAAGGGTTTCCTAGATTTTTGTATTTTTTGTAGGTTTGTGAGTTAATCTTTAGCTAATCATTCATGCTTATTCCATCTTAGACCTAGCACTAATGATCTCAGTCTCCGAAGTGTTATTCATTAAGCAACCATTAGCCATCTGAAAGCGTCATTAAATCATTCGCAGCAGAAGCCGACATGTCAATACAGACGAAGCAATTCATTTCAACACAATAAATCAAAACAATTCAAGATTGCTTCACGAAATGAATGAATAATACTCAGTGGCTCCGTGCGTCAGGATAAATCTAAGAAATGGCGATCCAGGAGTGCCAACGCACTAAGGACCTTGAAATGACCTATCAATTTCAAAAGACAAATTTGGATCACTTAATCAACCTTAATCTTAATCTTCCCTTAAAGCCACTCTAGTCTAACCGAAAAAAACACCCTCTAATCCTCCTTTAACTTAAAATCTACCTACGTTTAATCGATTGCCGCCTTTACGTGACTTAACCCTAAACTAACCAAATATCCCGTTTGATATTCTCACACACATTTGTATCATTTTTCTACAAATATAGTATCTTCACCCTTGTGTCACTGAATAATTTGCTCTGTCTGTTCGTTTCAAGGTGAGTTGGGTGCATTATCATTCCTGAATCGCTATTCTTCTACTTCACCAGTGGTAGAATGCTCCTTAACCAACATACGTATGACGGATTCGATTCCGACGACTCAGATGAGAACCTTATTTAGCTTGTAAATAGGGCAGATTGAATGTGGGGCTAATAATCTCACTCTGTCAAATGAAACCACCTCTACTGAAACTTCAAAGCTCAGAGCTCCTCTCTTTCATCTGAAACCCACAGAAAAAAATACGTAGGGGGGTGCTTCAAAAACAACAATTAAATCAATAATAGAAAGACTGGGTGAAAAAAAATATTTTCTTTTCAATTAGATCCTCATCCCACCCTGTCTCTACTCTAATATATATATCTATAGCAATTTTATTACAATACACAACAGTTTACCAGTCAAGTGACGATATGTTTGTTAACAATAATTGTCACGGTAAGGATAGACCACATCTTGAAAAGAAAGCTTCTGTACCAAAGAAAGCTATCTCTATTAATCTACTATTCAAGGGCGACCAGATTATGCAGTTGACAGCTCAAAGACTTCGCTCAGCCATCAAACGCACATTCTACGCCGCCACATCTCTTTTTCTCACTTGCCGAACATTTTCGATCCCTGTACCTACGAGTAAAGGACGAAATTCTGTGGAGTCTACTTCAAACTGTATCTACAAGTTCACCTGCAGCTGCGGTGACACCTATATAGGTAGAACTAACAGAATGTTCCAATGTCGTCGAAAAGAACATATTCCAAAACGGCTAGTAAATCATATCGAAAATCCTAACGCGATTAATCTTAATAGAAATCCAGCATCATCCATTGCAAAACACTTATTAATGTCTGGTCACAAAATCAATATTAATGACTGTTTCACAATTATTTAGTCACATAACTCTAATTCAAGGTTATTGAAGGTGATGGAAGCACTTTGGATTAATCACATACAGCCTAAACTGTGTGTACAAAAATCAATAGACTTCAATCTTCGCCTACCCTGGACTGCATGACCTATCTTAATATGATTGGTCATTAGTATGTACTTTTGTTTTTATTTAACTGAGTAATTGTCATGAACTTTATTTTATCATTGTTAACCATGTTAGTTGTAAAGCGGTTGTCAAGAAACTACGAAATGATATCATCTCGCAAAATTTGTCTTCTTAATGCCTTATTTAAATTAACTTTACAAGGATAACATGTAGTTAAAGATGAAGTGGTTAGAAAAAAATATAAAATAATCTGGACAATTATAATTTTATAATTTTTAAATATTTAGGGAGATACGGCACGAAGATCTATTCGTACCTTTATTGTAGCACACCTTTTAGATCATAAGAGCATAAGGTTGATGTTAATACAGCATTTAAAATGATTTATCGCATTCCTACTAATCTTAATTTTGCTCTACGACTTCGTCTTCTACATACAGCTGAAGTAGTAGGAATCCACCTGAAGAAGCCATACCTGTGGGTTTAGAAGAAGAAGTTTGTACAGCCACTTTCCTTACCTTAGCTGACGTGATATGAATGTATAAACCGGACTACTCCATCACCCTCCCCCTAGAATAATTTTTCTTTTTAAAAACTATAATTGTCCAAATTATTTTATTATTTTTTCTGACTACCTCATCTGTAATTACATGTTATCCTTGTAAAAATTATTTCATGCTTATGACCACTTCAACCTTAGTTACAAGTTATGATTGTCCAAATTGTTTTATTTTCTTTAACAATCTGTTACGTAATCAACCTGTGCACACGCTTATTCCTTAATTGCTCTTCATTTTTCCTAAATTATGCATTATGCAATCCACTTGTTGTAACCATTTCCACCTTTTAATTATATATATATACGTACTTATATAAATTTCACATACATTATTATAGCCTAGTCAAGTAGACAAACGCAGTCTTCTGATTGGTTGTTTTCGAGTTCCTCGGAAAGTGGAGCCATCTATTTGCGAATCATATTTGCCCACGTTTAAGTTTGCTGTGATTGGTTGTTGAAACAGCCTTGTTCATATTTTCTCACGGCACATATTAGTGACCTAGACACTGACGTAGATTAATGTCAACCAATTGGCTAGCAGGCTGCTCTCACCATATATATATATATATATATATATATATATATTTATATATATATTAATTTCCTTCGTTAATTATCACCCCATTGACATTTCAACACTGACTAATTATTGTTAGCAAACATATCAATGCCACTTGACTAGTAAACTGTTGTGTATTGTAATAAAAATGTTCTATGTGTATATTAGAGTAGAGCCAGAGATTAGGATCTAATTGAAAAGTAAATGGTTTCAGGATTTCATCATGAGCTGACATCGGTTAGGGAACCATTGGAAAACCAACTGGGGGTACTGGACAATCAGCTGTTTCGTCCCAGCTTGGGACTCTTCAGAAGTACGCATCCACCGGGGTTCGAACCCAGGACCTTCTGGTTACAAGGCCAGCGAGCTTGTAGACTATTAAGCCACTGGGACCCGATCCAATGGCCAGCCCATGAATTCTCACTTGTGCCAATTCACGATACAGCGCAACCGCTAGCCAATGTCTTCGGCGAGTATTTGTCCTCACACCTGTCTCCACTGAAATGTCATAGCTTGGAGTCCTTATCTTCTATGTGAAACTCAAAGGAAAAGAAAAACACGTCGGCGGCTTCCAAAAAACAATTAACTAATTTAATAATAGTCTATGGGAGCATGTTCTTATTCCTCCAAAGGAGAATAATACCACATTTTTAAAGAAAAAAATATTTCACAAATAACTCTTACTTTGTAAACCATGGTGCATCAGAAGAAATTTGCATCAGTCTATAAGCTAAAGCATGCCAGTAGGTGATTTGTTGATTACGCTTTTGTAATTCAATTAATTTATTATCCTCTTCACGATGTTCTTTCAACTGTCTACTCATTAAAGCAGATGAATGAAGCATTTCAGATTTAATGTCAATTTGACTTAGTACTGATGCTTTACGTTTTGTTCGTGGAGATGTCGGAAGTCTGGGGAATGAAGGTGTTCTTTTCAATTCAATTTTGATGTCTATATCTTTATTGCATGCGTCTGGTAAAAGATATCCGTGCAGTTTGTTGATCATAACTTCTAAATACCGTTTTTGATCATGACGAGATCTAGCGATTTCTTCACTTGCCTCTGCACGACACATACTCTGGCTTGATGCAGCACCGACTATAAAATGTGCAGTATACGATTCAACCATTGGTTGAAGCTGAAATGAAGGAAAGAATAGACTCTGAGGGATTTAATTCAATTTGAAAATTCTTGCTAATTGATTGGACCGAAGTGCTCGGCCTTAGACTGATATGTAGGCTCATTGTGTAGACTGGCGGATAGTGACTAGCAGTGGAATCCAGGATGTGCATTTCGTCTTACTTGGGACTTGTCAAAGCCGGATTTATCTGCATTCCCCAGTGAGTGATAGCGTTTAAAACTATGGGTACTGGATTCAAGCCTCAGTGGAAACACCATCCATCACCCATTAGGGAATGCATGTACGTCCAGATGAGGAGTTCCAAATAAAATGAAATCCGAATGTTAGATTCCACTGCTAGTCATCATCCAACAATTTACTCTAATCTTCAAAAATTTAAAGCAATTAGTTCCCTTTATGAATTTCTACAACACAAGGAGAAGATGTAGTTTGTCTGACACGTGTAATTTATTGGCGCAACAGATTTCAGACGTTGGTGGGTTAAATGTTTGTTCAAGCACATTCAGCGTATATGTACTGACGATACAATTGAAGAAGAAAGGCAACATCTCAGTGAAATATTGTTAGATAACAATTACCCATTGAGATTTATTAGACGCTATGGAAATGTCAACCATAGAGCTCTACCAATCCAATCAGCTCCTGAAAAAAGATGTTTAGATATCCTTGCCGTTCAGAGGTGGTCAACAAAGTCTGGTCACTAGACAAAGACTTAAGGCCACAATTCATAGAACTTATTATGTAGCTAAACTTATCTTCATAGAGAAAACGAGAACTATGCTGTCCTGTAAACCTACGCATTATTCGAACAATAGTGTCACATCCCACTGTGTTTATCAATTTACATATATCTGTAGAGACACGTACATAGGGAGAACCCATCGGTCTTTGCAGCTTATGGCTACAGAACACATTTCAAAGTGGCTGCAACAACAAATGAAGTCGCCAGACACAAGTGATCCCGGAAATAGATGTCCAGCATCGTCTATAGCGAAGTATATTATAGGGACGAGTCATAAGGTTGATTTTAACAATGTCTTTAAGCCGATATATAAAACAAGTTTGTACCAAATACTTAAATTTATTGAAACCTTAAGCATAAAAAGACTTAAACCTGTCTTATGTGTCCAAAGGCTACTTGTTATCACCTTAAACCTGCCTTGGTAATCCAATTTAGAACCAAGGACCAATTGACTTCATAATTTATATTCCCAACCCCTTCTTTCCTTTGTTTTATTCTCTTTTTATCCTTCTTACTAAGACCTTTGCGTCATCTTCTACCCATTATTTATTTCATGGAGGATTTAATCATGAGCTGACATCAGTTAGAGAACCACTGGAAAACCTGGGAGTACTGGACAGCCGTTTCGTCCTAGTTTGGGACTCCTCAGCAGTACGCACCCACCGGGATTCGAACCCAGGACCTTCTGGTTACAAGGCGAGCTCGTAGACCATTGAGCCACTGGGACCCGATCCAATGGTCCTTGAATTCTAACTTCTGCCAGTTCACGACATAGTGCGACCACTTCGCAAACTAGGACGAAACGGCTGTCCAGTACTCCCAGGTTTTCCAGTGGTTCTCTAACTGATGTCAGCTCATGATTAAATCCTCCATGCAATCAAACAAAATCCCTACAAAAACCAATACTTGAACATTATTTATTTATTTATTTTTAATTTTATTTTGGATTATAGCTTGATTCCACACTGTATTTTTGGTACAAGTATGGAATTTTCAGCATGGATATCGGTAACCCAAATTTTGCAGGCCAACCATAGATATCAGGTGTGCGTCGGCGAGGGCTCGAACCTCGGACCATGTGCATGGTCGGCGAGAGTCCTAACCACTGTGCTACCGACGCACATGATCAGAATGTCCAAAATGTGTTGCGCCAATACATTACGCGTTTCAAATAAACTTTGTCTTCTTATTGTGTTGTCGAAATCTACTCTTAGACTCTGTGTTGGTTTGATGATATTTCTGCCGAAGGGTATTAATTGTTTTCAGCAGGTCGCAAACTATAGCCAGTACCTGTTCGACAGTGAAGAACAGATGACCGGCCAGAAAGGATAAGTGATAAAGAGGTTTGGCAAGAACGAAACTTAGATGGAATGGATATATTCTGAAGAAGCATTCATGTGGCAACATCAAGCACTGCGCCTCAGAGTGGGACCTTAATGGGAAGCAAAGAAATGGATGTCTGAAGGCGAGACAGAAAATATCGTATGAGGAGAATACGAATGTTTGTTTGGCAGTTGTGGAACCCCCTGAGAGTCACATCCAAGAACCGGACATAATAGGGATGTTCAGCTGAAAGCCTATTTTTTACTCAGAACACAAAAGATAAATAACAATGATGACTAACCGTTTGTAGCCTGTGGTGGATAGTTTAATTACCTTGTTAAATATTCTATTCTCTTATATTCCAAGAAGACGACACTAAGTCTCAATTAAGCCTAACTTTCAATGAACCACATGGAATTAAGCAGACACTAGTAACTAGTGTGATGTGTCTAGTACTTTCTTTGGTGTAAACTGAATTCTATCAGTCCTTCAGGGTTACAAATACGCCTTGCTGATGAGCGCCAAGTAGCACGAAACCTAGGTCCAATGTTTCATGCCTCCAACTATCGAATATCATCAAATCAATGTGCACCGTGATGGCGAGCTAGCTAGTGGCATCATGGTGGCCAGATTGCAAAACCTGACTGGTAGAATTCAATCTTCACCAAAGAGAGGACTAGACACATCACACTTGTTGCTAGTGTCCAATCAAAATAACCACTACAGTCCTACAGGAGATCAATCGCGAGCCCGAATAGCTCAGTGATAACGTCTGTGACTGCAGCAATGTGTGACGCTGGCTCATATCTCAGAAGGGATATGAGTTCCTTCATGGTTGCAGATACGCCTGGCTGACGAGTGCCAACTAGCGCAAAACCTAGGTCTAGGCAAGGCTTCCTGTAGCCAACTGCCTCCAACTATCTAATATCATCAAGACGAAACGATATACAACCAAAACCTGTGAAGCATGATTTTTCGCCTAAACCCGACAAAATGCTATATAAGATATTTAAACTTAAGTGTAATCTGCCCAACAACATCCTCCAGAGAAGGATCTCACAATTCCTGAAACGAATATTCGTTACAGTATACCTGAGAGTTGTATGTTCTAGTTAACTATTACTTTCTGATCATTTAAACAAAAAAAATATCAGTTTGACTTCTTCTGTAGAGCTAGATATGTCTGTAGCCCATTCGAAGTTTGCGCGAAAACTCTATCCTGAGCAGTTATGAAGACGAGGAGGTGAAGGTATCAGAAGCATGCAGTAAGTAAATATCTGACCGAAAATAGTCAACACAACCTCTTCCTTTAAAGTTATCCCTTAGTTGTACTCCTGAAGCCGTGGTTATCGAAACACTGTGGCCAGCGAAATGTATTATAGCTTAACCACCCCCTATATTTCATGGTATTAATAAGTAATTGTTAAAAATTATTGCAGTCCTTTTTTCTACCTTGGCTTTAGGCTTAGAAATAGGGATAAAAACATTTTTACTTATTTCAATATGGAAAAATATCCCCATTTAGACACTTAGAAAGCAAAAGGACTGAGCGAACAAATATTCACTTTTCAATTAAATTGTCATCTCTGACTCTACTCATATATATATACATATATACCCTCCCTCTCCCTCTCTCTCTTCCCCTTACTGTTTCTTGCCACTTTCCACATCTCCAGTATAGGCGTTGCGTCATTCCAACTGCATATGTGCGGTGTTGAATTGACAAGCTAAGATTCACTGATTATGTTCTCTCTCTCTCTCTCCTCACATCAAACCATATTACTTTCTAATACTTTCACCCTGTTCCACCCACCTTATCGTTGAGTAATTACATGCAAGTGCTGAATGCAGTGCAATAGCTGAGCTTTTCTCTAGGTTATTTTACCTATCAGGGTCAGTCATTCTACGTCTAGCTAAATCTCCATGTTCCAGTAATTTAAATGACCCCAATCTACTAGCTTCACCTATGTAATTATATTTACCTCACAGTCATTACTTGGTACTTAGTAGATTATATTATTCTATTTAATAGGAACTATTAGGTGGATCCTTAAGCCGACAAACTTTATCTCTGAGAGGGACAACTAATTTCAGCCTCATTGAGAATCCTATGTAAGGCCTCTGACATTCCTTATTTGTATGACAGTACTACACAGGTTTTGAACTCTATATTATTTTCTTCATCATTTTTGTCATCTTCATAACTAATCTTAGTTTTTTTTCATGGTTCTTCATACAGTGGTTAGGACTCTCGCCGACCATGCACATGGTCCGGGGTTCGAGCCCGCACCAACGCACACCTGATATCTATGGTCGGCCTCCGAAATTTGGGCTACCGATATCATCACATGCTGAAAATTCCATGCTTGTACCGAAAATACAGTGTGGAATCAAGCTGTAAATAAAAAATAAAAAAAAGAAAATAAAAATAGCCCAAATTTTGCAGGCCAACCATAGATATCGGGTGTGCGTCGGCAGGGGATCGAACCTCGGACCATGTGCATGGTCGGCGACAGTTCTAATCACTGTGCCACCGACTATTTAAATTTTCTGACCTATTAGTCAGGCTCCTTGGTTCTTTGTTTTATTCCTTTAAGTTCCCAGTGAAACATAGGGCTACAATCTACAGGCTTTAAGTTTCAGTGGCGGTGTTTTTTTATTTTTACGGGCTGGAGTTGTTAGCCTCATACACAATCTTTTCTCTTTACCAGTCTTATTACTGGCTTAGTTAGGTAAAATATGCCTCGTTTGGATAGGAATCGAACCCTGGACCACATGCGTGGTCGGCGAGCATTCTACCGCTGTGCCACTGACAGCCCACTTATCTAGACATTTAACTAAACTTGTCTTTACGGATTCTGGATAGGATGACATAAAGTCTAAGTATTCATAACATTTTTGATCCTATACACAGCGTTTTACGAATCATCAAGTAGTTAGTAGAGTAGAGCTAGAGATGAAGATCTAGTTGGAAATTAAATATTTCTCCTCCCTTCTTTTTTTTGACGATCAGACTTCTCACCTCGTTATACAATATCATCTTATTTACCTACTAATTCTACTAAATTCACACATTTTTATAACATTTATACATCTCAAGAACAATCTTACATGGGCTGTTTTGTTATGATCACGAGTATTTTGTCTACTATCTGTCTACTATCACCAATGATCTTCCTGATTGCAGTAGATTGGATAATGCGACAGAAAACGGCAACCAACGAGGGAACATGCATAAAATGGACTGACACAAAAAAACTTGGAGGATGTGGACTTCGCCGATGATATATGTCTGATTTCCCACAAACTGGAAGATATGCAAGTGAAAAGCAACAAGCTGGCAGAAGAAGCATCAAAGATAGGCACGACTTCAGGTGAAAATAGATAAAACAGCGGTGATAAAGATTCCTGGCCAACAGCAACACCCAAAACAACAACAACAGACAACAGTCAGCATAAATGGGAGGAACCTGAAAGAAACAACCTCCTTCACCTACCTACCTGGGAAGCATCGTCTCAACTACAGGCGGACGGAACTGACGAGGACATCAAAGCCAGAATCGGAAAAGCAAGACAAGCTTTCATTACTCTCAAATCTGTGTTGAGGTCAACAGCACTCAGCATCAAAAATAAGATCCGGATTTTCAACTCCAATGTAAAGTCAGTGCTACTATACGGATCAGAGACTTGACCAGCGCGTCATAAAGAGCATCTCAAACAAACTACAGGCCTTCATTAACAGCTGTCTTCGCTCAGTACTCAAGATCAGATGGTCGGCCAGAAATGATCAGCAGCAGGGATCTCTGGCAATGAGCTAACCAACCAGAACCTGGTTGTGAAACAAATATTCAGGAAGAAATGGAGATGGATTGGCCATACGCTGAGGAAACCATCAAGTGACATCACTAGACAAGCCATCGCTCGAGTGGAACCCGAAAGGGAGGCGGCGAGTTGGTCGTCCAAGGGTGACTTGGAGGAGGTCATGCGAGGAGGAGATGAAAGCATGTGGACAGACCTGGAGCAGGGTGAAAAAGTTGTCAGAAAACAGAAGGCAATGGAGGTGCGCAGCTGAAGCCCTATGTTCCTCTAGGAACTAAAGGATACAATAATAACATAATATATAATAATACACATTGTTATTATTATTGCTAAACATTCTGACCTAAAACATACTCAAGCACATTGGGCGCTTACATGAAGTATATTCACTGTTCAGTGAAGCTTTCTGGCTTGAGTGTTTTATGTTGTTCTCTTTAACTACTGAAAGAGATTAAAGTAGTGTAACTCACATTTGAAAATAATCCTATTCAACAACTATATAACAATGCCGCGCATAACAGATAACTCAGTAGAGCCTTCAAAATGAAGACAGCAGTGAAACAAGACTAGGTGCTATCGCCGGTGATATTTACAACTGTAGTGGACTGGTCTATGCTACACGCCCTGCATAGGAAACGAGCAGATAAGAAAAATACATAGGACAGATAAGAAGATTCTATGTTTCGAATTTGCAGATGATTTATGTCACATAAACTCGAAGATCAGCAGTGCATAATAGACATTTAGGCAGAAGAAACAGTGTTAATATTATTCCAAGGAAACATAGATAGACGAAGGAGATGAAAATAACTAACAACAAGCACCAATCACTGTCAAAGGGAAGTTACTAGGAAGCATCGTTTCAGCTAAAAAAACGGAACAAATGAGGATGTCGAAAGCAGGCCAGAAAAGTAAAAATAAACATTCATTATTTTGAAATCGGTTTGTAAAGTTTCTACACTCAGTATAAAGAAAAAGATTCAGATTTTCAACACCAATGTTAAGTTGGTTCTTCTATGTGGTTCACAGGCGTGGAGCGTCATGAAAAGCATTTCATTAAAAAGGCTCCTTTAGACATTCATCAACAGCTTCCAGATTAACTTTATAATGAAGATCAGATGGCCGGCTAGTAAAGATAAACAACAGAAACGTTAGGAAGGAATTAACCAACAATCCATTGTCGAACAAATATGTCTGAGGAAATGGAAATGAATTGGATACACCTTTAGGGACCGTCGAATGGAACCCGAATTAGAAAGAAGGAGTTGGACGTCGGTTGAAGGGTGACATAGTGGAGATCGTGTGACGAAGAGATGAAAGTTTATAGGCGATCGTTGAGCCATTTGAAATAGTATAATGAAATAGCGATGTACTGTTGAAGCCTAAGGGAATAACAATGGAGTGGTAACATGCTCACCAGCCGCACTAGGCATTCAAGTTTGATTCCCGGATAGCACACACAGGCCCACACATACCTAAGCCTCATCTATTTTACTATCCTGTCTTAAGCTGTAGAGCAAAAACAGTGAAGTTAGGACATAGAGTTAGCGATCTCGTCCCACTCAGAACGTGAAAATAATCAATAAAATAATAACTTACACGATTCTTCAGAAAACATTGCCATTCACCATCAGGTATAGCTCTGTAAACTTTAAAATTCTCTAAGAAATCAGCTGTCATTTTTGGTAAATTAGGTGTTAACTTTTCCATTTCCAAAAGTTTACTATGATCTCTAAAAAGCTTAAAGATAATAGGTGTTATGTGGATAAATAATTCTTGTGATTCAGTATCATTATGACCTGCTAGCATGCCTAAATTCCCAGTTGATGCAGTGGTTTTCATTTCAGCAGATTGAGAGTAAAAGAAATTTTCAATGAATTCAGGTGATACACTACTGAACTTTTTGGTTGATTTTCTTTCATGTCCAGGATATTCGGCAATACACGCTACCTCTCCTTCTTGTTCTTCTTGTTCTTCTGCTTCGTCTGCTTCTTCTTCTTTTTCTTGTAGTTTACGCATATTGACAAATGTGTGAAAATCTTCAAGACGTGACCACATTTCAATTACTTTATCCAATCGATAGACAAGAAATGCAATCTGAAGTATTAAAAAAGAGTTAGTGAGTCACTAGGTTTAAACGATGAGGAATATACATTATTAATACACGCACACACACACAATCATTTATGGAATCTATGCTGAAATACGCTTTGCGTCAGTGGCATAGCGGTTAGGACGCTCGCCAACTATACATATGGCCCGGCCACCGACGCACTCCTTTACCTCACTAAGCCAGAAATAAAGCTGGTGAAGAGGAAAGGTTAGACATGAGGCCAGCAACCCCATCCTGTAAAAATAATCACCACTGCTACAGAAACTTCAAGCTAGAGGCTTGAAGCCCTATGTTTCACTGAGGAATGTGAAGGAAAGAAAACTGAACATCTGATAGTTAACCTACTGTTCCCTAGTGACTGACTATAAGATGCAATTTTTGGAGTTCCAGCGAAAAGCTCTGACCAAGGCAGGCGAGAGGGTGCTCAGCAAGTAGGACATGGGAACATGTACTTGTTGATGACATCGCCTCGCAGAGGCACTAAATGGCATAGCTATTGGGTCCCATCCTACTGGCTGAATGATCCATGGGGTTGCCTTGTAACCAGAAGGCCTTGCGTTCCGTCCCCAAATTTTAATGGTTCTCTAACCGACCTTCTGGTTACAGAGCCAGCGAGCTTGTAGACCACTAGGCCACTGGGACTTAATCCAACGACCAGGCCATGAATTCTAAATTCTGCCAATTTATGACATAGCGCGACCACTTCACAATGTATTCTTTGATGAGTTACTGCCTCACCTCAATATAAACACATTCGGAAGTAATATTACTATTATCAATAAAATACAATAAGATGGGAAATGAGATGTTTTTATAGTAAAATAAATAAGTAACTTGTTAGATTGTGAGTTGAAATATATTTTATGATTATTTATTATCCTCTGATTTGATTGGTAATATCTTTCATATCTCTGGTATTTGCGTAGAATCATATCTGTTGCAGGCGAAGTTAAACTTTCGACACCACTAACTACCAATCAGCGAATTATCCAATGAGATTCACGAACGCAGTTCAATGTTGTATAGCGCTTGATTCATTTCTGATGCGTCACCTTACAAGGCTACTGTTGCAGTTCGAGGAGGTTAGTGCTTTCCAGTATTTCCTGGATTTGAGTTGCTCCAGAAAGAGCGAATTTGTTCGTGTGGTGGTATCATTACTTTAAAAAGCTATACCAAATCAACTGATGGGTTTGTTCATCATTGTGCTATATGTTTGAAGCCTACTAACACTGGAAAGGGTAAGCTGATAATTTTTATATTTCGTAGGAACTTACTTTCGCTAGGTCGCATCTCTCCCTAACCCAGATTTTGTATATCTGCAACTAATGGGTGTTGAAACAGGCTGTGAGAGTAGCAGCTGTCGAGATGGAGAATAGCCATGTCTCAACAGTTCAGTGGTACCAGCATTGCAGAGACATCGCATCATAGAAAATGGAGAAAATCAATTGTTTGCTGGGCGGGGAAGACGTTATCGTGCATGTCGATGAGACAGTGCTGGTAAAAAAGAAATACAACCGTGGTCGCCAGCGAGCGAACAATATTTGGGTAATAGGTTTGTATGACACCTCCCTCCGAAAGGGATTCGTCGAAAGGATAGCAGATAGAAAAGTATTGCCAGTCCCATGCTAAACTGGGAGATGTTTCTCTCACATGTTCGAGAAAGATATCCCATGTAACTATTTCATTCTCTATTTTGTGCTTTTTTTCTATAAATATACATTTCCAGTCATCATATATGCCTCTTTAATGTAATTGGTTCCTTCAAGGTCGTTTGCTGATTGGTTGTCAGTGGTGTCTAAAGTTTAACTTTGCCCTGTTGCATTTGTTGGGTGTGTAGACTCGATGAACCAGACAGGATTCAGTGATCAACCTCTCTCTCTCTCTACCTATATACCTACATTACTTTTTAGAATTTTGACTCTGTCCTACCCACTCTACTGTGTGGTTGTGTGTTAATGCACGTAGTGCGATTGCCGCGTTTTTTTCTAAATTACTTATCATCGTGGGATTGATCATTTCAACGTTGGGTGAATTCTTATGCTCTGATAATCTCACTACTCCTGATTTACTAGTTTGACCCAATTAAACAAAATAATATAATTTACAAAATACCCTGCAATGAATGTGAGTTAAGTCGACTACATAAATCAAACTAGTAATATAGGTAGGTGGAGATAGGGAGACTGATTACTGAATCCTGATTCATCGAATCTACGCCCAGCTTATTTACAGCAGGAATAACTCGTCATCTTTATCAGAGATATGGAAAAAGTCTACTATTAATCAACCCGAGACATCAAAAATAGTGGAATTATATAAACGAAGTTGGAAAGTTGTGTGAGCAACTTGTTATGATTATGAGCATTGATAAATTGTGCTCGAACCGTAGTCATCAGTAGACATTTTTGTATAACAACACTCTGTGAAGGATCATTTCACCGGCTGATAAGTTAGCAATCAAGTACTCAACATGTAAAGCTAAAAACGATGGGTACAGCCATCTATGACCTCTTGAGTACACCTCTTAGAGATTCACAAACTAGGATAACACAGAAGTTCAGTAGTTTCTCAGGTGAATTCACCCACTCACTTACTGAATTACTGACCCATAAAGAACAATCAAAGCTGAACTTACTTATAGGAATGAAACTTGTGCACTGCAGTGGTAGAGTATAATTCCATTATGGGTAAAATTTTGTTTTTGATAAAGTCTCACAGTGTTATGTAGTAATGTTTAATGATGACGTTTCGAGCACAATTTATCACTACTCGTAATCAACTAGAGAACTATGAAACAATGGTTAGTTTTGATGTAACTAGTCTTTATACTAACCTACCAATCAATATGCCCGCCTTAAAAGCAGTTAAAACAGAAATAACTGCAGATCCTGAACTCACTTATAGGACTAAAGTACCCACTGAAGAAATTATTTTAGGATTTCAGTTATGCTGTCTCACATCTACTATCTTTTTTTTAAATTTTTTTTTTTGATTACAGCTTGATTCCACACCGTATTTTTGTACAAGTATGGAATTTTCAGCATGTGATGATATCGGTAGCCCAAATTTCGGAGGCCGACCATAGATATCAGGTGTGAGTCGGCAGGGGATCGAACCCCGGACCATGTGCATGGTCGGCGAGAGTCCTAACCACTGTGCCACCGACGCACAAGGCAAAATATATAGACAAACAGAAGGTGTAGCAATGGGATCACCAATATCCCCTTCCGTAGCAGATATATTTATGAACAGCTGGGAAAATATAGCTTTTAATACATTTAATCCTACTCCAAAAATATGGTGGAGATATGTGGATGACACTTTCACAGTGTTGAAAACAGAACATATCCCTCTCTAGCTTCTTCACACATATAAATAAACTCACTAGTGGAAGGAATAAAATTCATATTTGTATCAAAAAATGAACAAGGAGAATTAGCTACTATGTTAGATTGTAAGACAAAAAGAATAGAAGAAGGCAAACTACACACTAGTGTTTATAGAAAACCAACGCATTCTAATAGATATTTGGACTTTAATTCGTCTCATCCTTTAACTGTTAAGGCAGGCTTAGTTAAATGTTTAGCAAACCAAGCAGTAGCACTAAGTAATACAAAAGAAAAACCTAAATGACGAACTAAAACAGATAGAAGAAGCGTTGGTATCTAATAACTAACTATCTTACGAAATTCATTAGGAAGATCCGTAAAGACTTAAAGCGAAATAAAAACAATTATGAAACTAGTAATGATAACATAAATAAGGGAGAATATAAGCATCTACTGTTATACCATATATGGAGGGGACATCTGAGACCCTACGTAGGATTCTGAATAAAGCAGGAATTCGAGTGGTGGCATTTAAGCCTACAAACTCACTCACTCAGGTAGGACAAGCTCTGTAGGTTAAAGGGCCCAGTTGACTTAATTAAACAAAATAATATAATTTACAAAATACCCTGCAATGACTGTGAGTTAGGTCAACTACATAATTCAAACTAGTAGGTCAGTGGTAGTCAGATTGTCGGAACATAAGAGTTTAGCTAAGGTAAGAATGGTTGACCCCGAGAAGATAAGTAATTTAGAAAAAAGCTCAGCAATCCCACTGCATGGATTAACACACAACCACATTATAGGGTGGGAGAGAATCAAAATTCTAAAAAGTAATCTAGATAGGTGGAGAGAGAGGTTGTTGATTACTGAATCCTTATTCATGCAACAGGAATGATTTATCACTCATACCCGAAATACGGAAAATACTACACTACAAATCATGAAATCAAGAGATGAGAGATAGTGGAATTATATATAAATGAAATTAGAAACTTGGAACTGAACTAACACTTACTTCTTCAAAACATGATTTTGTTTCAAATTGACATATAATATAATGCAGTCTTGCTAATGAACGAACAAAGAGACGTGAATTTGGACAGCTTGTATCAGTAATCCACATTAGAATTAAGTGTAATGCCAAAGCTTGTACTTCTTTCCATTGAGATGAATTCACCTCCCAGATAAGTAGAGATTCTTGTAGTAAATTTAATACTGATTCCATTAACTTCCAAATACGAATGATAAAAAGATGAAAAGATTAGGCATAAAATTCAATTGTGTACGTTTTATAGAAATGATGTCAGTAAAATCACACAAAAACAATTGATAAGTTAAGAAAAAATCTACAGCCTACTGAATAACTTCGAGGTCTTGATCTGCAGGAATCTGACTTCTGTAACTGAAGTCAGCTCACGATCTGACTTGATACTGCAATAGTTGCATTTTTTTTCAAGAGTTTGACGACGGATTGATCTCAGTTACAGAATCATTCAAAACCAAGGAGTATTGGACCCCAGTAGCTACGCACTGCTGATGATTCCCAAACTAGGATGAAACAGCAGCTGTCCAGTACTCCCTGGTTTTCAATGATTCTCTAAATGATATCAATCCGTGGTCAAACTTGATAGACAAATCAAATGCCTACATATCAATTCTTGAAAACTAATCCGATGCTCACTAGAGACTTGCTACAGGGTGGAGTTTCCTGGAGTTCTAATGAGAGGTCGTGACCAGTGAGGTCCATGCAGTCGGAAGTGAGGATGGATTTCGCACCGATCACATTGGCTGGTGGTGGCGTTAAAATCGCGAGTAGGATTTTTCCGCGTATATATATATCTGAATCAAATTGACAGGCCCGACTTCAGCAGATGTATGTGAGTCCCTTATACCAATGTTGGCCATCATAACACAAGTAAATTTGAGTTATTAACCATGGTATTACTAAGCTATCCACTCAAGAAGCCTATATATCAAAATACGGCTAACAAGTTCAAAATTAGTATATCATAATCATACTCGTTGCATAAGATGTGGTTCTTGTGATTGAATAGAAAATTAATAAATCATATTGTGAAAGCACCTACCTCTACTCTGTATTCATCATCAATTAAATTTATATGATTGCAGCTGATATCGACCAAAAATGTCATAAACAAGTAGATCAGCCGTTTCACACGTTCTTTATCCACCAATCCTGGAAATGAAATATCTTGACCTGAAATTTAAAAAAAAAATACAACAGGTGCATAAACACTTGTGCATTTTCAATAGCTGTTAGTTAAAACGTTGAAGTTTAACATTATTAATCCAAGAAAGTGAGTAGTAAATGAATGACATTAAAGCAGCCAGTCAGAATAGTTCATCAATATAGTCCTTATTAGAATTTAATTTGTAAATGGTGACTAGCAGTGGAATCCAGGACAACGCGCATTTCGTCCTATTTAGGACTCGCCAACTGGATGCACCTGCATTTCTCAGTGAGTGATAATGTTCCCACCACTGAGGCTCGAACCCAGTGCCCATAGTTTCAAACGCCAAAGTGTTATTCGTTAGACCACGAGAGCCACCTCTTGTGTAACCAGGTCATATTGATTTAATTGAATTTGAGATTATCCCGTCGTTTGTACGACCAGCTGACGAGTCCCAAATGGGACGAAATGCGCGTTGTACCGGATTCCACTGCTAGTCACCATCCACCAATTAAATTCTAATTAAATGTCCAGACATCGTGGAAACATATGCACAAGTAGCCGACAGATATGTCAACCTGACACCAAGCACTTCGGTCCAATCAGTTGACGGGAAAATCTCAATTTCAATTAAAATAGTTCACAGTAGTTTGTATATTTGACTTATTTTAGTTTGCTGGAGTGAACAAATTAGGCAGTAATTTTGGATGCTTGATCACGAGCTGTTAGAATGCGTGGGAGTATCAGACAGTTGCTTGGGCCCCTTGATTAGTACGAAGCCACCTCAGTTAGAACTCAAGGACCTTCTGGTTACAAAGTAAGCTTGTAGGCCATTCAGCCACTGAAATCCAGTGAAAAACCGTACACTGACGTAAAACAATATCTGAGGAAGTGTAAGAATGTTAAACAGACTAGTATGCACGATTATTTATTAGTTTAGTATGGGGGGTGGGGGGTATCTGTGCATATGTTGGAGTAACTGTCGTTTACAGTCAAGAGCGAAGGTTTTGTGGTAGGTATAGATTGGAATTAGATTAAGGTTAGAGTTCAGAGTCATAAGTTAGGGCTTTCACTATAAATAATAATAAAGACACTTTATCAATCTACTTTAATATTATTTTCAAGAACTCTAAGTTATCGTTTCAGAATCATTCACTCGTTTTTTTGTTCGCAAAAGGCCGCTGTTCATCACCACTTCACTCGATAATAAAGATCAGGTGACCAGGTGGAAAGGATTAACGATAAGGAACTTTGGCATTAAGACAAAGAACCAAATACACAGAAAGAAATGAAGATAAATTGGACATATGCTGAGTAGACCTTCATATGATACTACACATGCCAGGTCTTCGAGTGGGATGAGAATGGCTGACGGTGGCGATGAGTTGACTGTTTTAGAGTTACATGTGAGCAGGAAATGAAAGTCTGTGAGTAGTCAGGGCGTCTAGGTGAATGTGGTAGTATGAGATCCACTACACAAGAGAACAGCATTTGTTTGTTATTCGCAATCATATCAGTTAGTGTAATTACATACTTATAATAAGGAAAGTTGAATTTTCTATAGTCGGTATGAAAGGATTAATTGTATATTTACGAGTTGAGAGAGAACCATTGAAAACCAGAGAGTACTAAACATCTGTTTCATCCCAACAGTTTAGGAATCATCCGCAGTACGCACCCACTGGGGTTCGAATCCAGAACCTTCCAGTTACAAGGCAATCCGTGATTTATCGCGACCCCAACCAATATCTTCCGTTGGACATTCATCCTCACAATTGAATGGATGCACCTCCCTAGTTTTCAATGGTTCTCTAACTGATATCAATCCGTGATCAACTCGTACAAGGCAACTACAGAAAATTAATCTGATGCTAGCCAGTGACTTGCTACAGGACGGAGTTTCCTGGAATTCTGGTGAGAAGTTATGACCAGTGAGGTTCATCCAATCAAGTGTGACGATGGATGGTTGTTGAAATCACGCTAAATGCATGACAAATTAGTAGAAGTTAGAATTCATGGACTGGCCATCGAATCGGTTACCAGTGGTTGAAAAGTATACGAGCTTGCCTTGTAACTGGAAAGTACTGGATTCGAATCCCAGAAGTAGAATTTCCCAAGTATTTGAAACACGTGTATGCCAAGGTCAGTTGGAATTGTACATTCAAAAAACCCTTAGCAATATCTAAACTATTAGACCACAATAAGATAAGGTGAGACAAAGCGACATTCCTAAAATGTGTAAAAGTACAAGTTAACAATTGAACCTTTATTCATAGATTTCATCATGAACTGACATCGGTTAGAGGACCATTGGAAAACCAGAAGGGAGTACTGGACAGCTGTTTCGTCCCAGTTTAGGAATCTTCGTCAGTACGCGCCCAACGCCACAGTTAGAACCCAGGAACCTCTTTGCTTACAAGGCTAGTTCGTAGACCATTCAGCCACTGAGAACCGATCCAAAGGTCCATGATGAAATCCTGAAACCAATCAAATCTGTGCAAACCAACACTTGAATATCAGTCTGATGTTCACCAGTGACTGGTCCTATTCAGCTGGGTGGTTACCTGGGTTCTAATGCGAAGTCGCGACCAGTGGGGTACAGCAGGTCAGTCGGTTGTGAGGACGAATGCTCGCAGATAACATCGAATAGCTGTCACACTAAACATCAAGAACCAACGGAAGTTAAAATTGATTTGCCTCTCAATCATGGCCCAGGTAATTGGAGGGTCAACGATATTTGCGCTGTCACCTGGAGGTTTTGAATTCGACCTCAACAGGGGTAAACAATTAACACCGTAGAAAAGTCCTAAAACAGGACGAGACATCAGTCAACTACCACCTGGCTTTCTGCTGCTCTCTGACTGATACTAATCTGTAATAACACTTGGGACAATATAATGTAGGAACGCCGTGGTATCTCTACATACTTAAATTATGTCTATCATATCTTCAACGCACCATTTGCACAGATCTTCGTGTTGTGGTACTTCTGGACTTCATATTGTGTCTTTTTGTGTTTCTTCTATGTATTTCATGTACTTTAACAATATTGTATGATTTGCCTTCTCTGAAATCAAATGTATCTCCCTGATATTTGATATTTTTATGCCGATGAACGTCTCTTCATATACTACTTAAAAATCTTATAAGTAGCACCGCCACACAATTATAGAGTCGAATATTTTACACATAAATACACTAAAAATGTACACTGGGTATATTAAAAACGTTATTGTTCTAATTTTTTCTTTCGCGAGGAGGAGGGGGACAGTAAAATAAAAATAACTCACTAAAATTGTTTAATGCTTGTTGTAAGGAATCAATGATCGATTCAAAAAGACGTTGAACAATCCAGAATGCAGGTTTCAATAGGGTATTTTGAGCAGTTATCTCCATAAGTGATACTAGAGTTCTATAGTAACCCTATAAGGCAATATTAAAAAAGAAGAGTAAGGAAAATAAGTTATAGGAACCTCAAAAATGAGTACGTTTCTGCTGTGTGGTTAAGAAATGTGCTCGAATTCTGGAATTTACTTCATTTTATTCGTCTTGTCTGAAATGAATAGCGAACGTCTAACACAAAACCATCGTTTTCAAAGAGAAATATACTAATAAAAGGTATAGCTTAACTCAAATTCTCTTCGAAGCTCAGAGTAAATTGCATATTTTATTTCTTAACAAGAGCATTATGGATGTGTTGAGTACTTCAGCAGTAGTTCTCATGAATTATCAGAGATCCGATTGTGATATATTTTAAAGACTAGAAGAAATTAGTATTAATATAAGTAAAAAGTTTGAGCATTGTGGATTAGATCAAATAAAGTATAATTATATTTTAATAGTTTACACACAATGATAAGTTTTGTTATTGGTAATATTTCGAGCAAAATCACTACTGCCCGTGTTCACACCACTGTTGGAATTGTTTTATTTACACATTTATGATTTGTACTTATATATATAGTTCATTATTATTATTTTGTTCATTCATGTTTTGTGTGTGCATATGTGTGTTCAGAATTATATTCCATATTCATTCATGTGTTTGTGTTTAGAATTATATTCCAAGTTGTTGATAGTTGTACTGAGTCACCCTTGTTACATGTATCCGGTGTGACTTTAATGAATATCGATTCTGTTATGAGTCTTTCTTTCCATTTGTTCATGTTTGTTTTTAGAATACACACATTGTCCCAATCGATATTGTGGTTTTTGTCCCATGCATGTGCAGCTATCGATGAATTTTTTTCAAGATTTTTGTAAGCTTGTGTCCCTGTTGGTTGAAATTTAGTTAGGCGTTTATGTTCATTCACTCTTATTTTGAGTGATCTGGACGTTTGCCCCACATATTTAGTTGGACAGTCAGCAAAAACTCCGAATGACAGACAAGTAACTAAAGCCAATTGGATTGTAAACTTGTCAGACAGAAAACTAACAGAAGCAGAGGAAAGTGTACTGATGAAAGGGATGAACTTCAATATCAGCAACAAAAGATTAAAACTTGAAGACATCATACCTGTAATTGAAACAGCACTCGAAGGATATGACAAGCAAAAAGCTGAACTGGTACGAGCACAATGTGCACTTACCTTAAAAAAAGCAAAAAGCAGAAAAACCAAATATAACGAAGGAGGAACTAAAAGCACTTCAAGACATAAAAGCAGACAAATCCATTGTCATTACTCAAGCAGACAAAGGCAACACAACAGTATTACTTAACAAAACAACATATAATGAAAAGATGAATGAACATCTACAATCTGGACCCTATACCATAATGACTAAATCAGCTGAAACAATCATCAACAAAACAATGAAAGAAACAGCAAATGTAGTTAGACAAATGAAAGAAGTAATTGGTAAGTCAAAATGGTTTGAAATTATGCCAAAATCCTGTAGTGTACCTAGGATATATGGTAAGATAAAATTGCATAAAGAGGAATATCCAATAAGACCGATTGTAGAATTCAGAAACACCAACGTATATGCTATCCAGATTTCTCTCGACAATACTAAGACCGACAAGAGACAACTCAAAAGCTAGAATAGTAGATTCATTTGAATTAGTGAGGCGAATAAAAACCACTAAAATAGAGGAGGAAGAAATACTAGTTAGCTTTGATGTAAACAGTCTTTATACGAAAATACCCATTCAAATGGCCATGATTGCACCGAAAGAGAAACTAAATGAAGATAATGGCCTGAAAGACAGAACACAGTTATCCGTAGAAGAAATAATAAAAGGGGTAGAATTCTGTCTGACAACAACATATTTCACATTCGAAGGAAAAATATACCAACAAAATGGGGGAGTAGCTATGGGATCGCCTATCTCACCAATTATAGCTGACATATTCATGGATTATTGGGAGGAGAATGCCCTTAAACCATTCAGATCATCACTAAAATGTTGGTGGAGATATGTAGACGACACGCTAGTAATAGTGAAAAAAACATAAACGCCTAACTAAAGGTCAACCAACAGGGACACAAGCTTACAAAAATCTTGAAAAAAATTCATCGATAGCTGCACATGCATGGGACAAAAACCACAATATCGATTGGGACAATGTGTGTATTCTAAAAACAAACATGAACAAATGGAAAGAAAGACTCATAACAGAATCGATATTCATTAAAGTCACACCGGATACATGTAACAAGGGTGACTCAGTACAACTATCAACAACTTGGAATATAATTCTGAATACAAACACATGAATGAATGTGGAGCATAATTCTGAACACATATGCACACACAAAACATGAATGAACAAAATAATAATAATGAACTATATATATAAGTACAAATCATAAATGTGTGAATAAAACAATTCCAACAGTGGTGTGAACACGGGCAGTAGTGATTTTGCTCGAAATATTACCAATAACAAAACTTATCATTGTGTGTAAGAAATTAGTATATGTGCAAAACTTGGGCACTGCTGTGGTGGTAAGTAATTCCATATAATTTTGTTTTTTAGATATATCACACACACACACACACACACACAGTGAAACAGTATTATTTACTGGATGACACAGTTTCGAACAAAACTTATTGTTCGTAATCATATCATCAATTATAATAACACGACTTTGAAACTTGCGTTTTATAGTTTCATTTGTCCCCTCCTATTTGTCGTCGTAGGGGTAGTAGAATTTTCTAGATATCAGGGACAGGTGTTGAATCATTCTTATTACAAGTGTTTCCAGTTGATTCGATAAGCACAAAGTTTCTGTTGTAATCAATCTCTCCCTCCACCCTTCTGTGACATTAGATTTCAAAACCGTCATCCTACCCCATCCATCCTATATTGTATGGTTGTGTGTAATTGCATGTAGTGAGTGCTATAGCTGAACTATTCTTCACATTCCTTACCTTATTCGGGTCAACTAATCCAGATTTTGCTGTTAGGCTTTTATGCTCGGCTAGTCTGACTGCCGCTGTTCTACTAGTTTGGCCTATGTATTTGACCTGACAATCATTTCAAGCAGGATATTAGATAAACTAAATTGTTTTGTTTTAAAGGCTCCACAGAGCCCTTTAACTGACAAAGCTTGTTTCTAATCGACATATAAGAGAAAACAAAGAAAACTATAAAATTCAAGTTTCGAAGTCATGTAATTATAATTGATGATATGATTATGAACCACAATAAATTTTGTTCAAAACTGTGTCAACTGGATGTATCTGTTCCGCACTCAGTGGGGTGGTATTTTCCCAGTAAAACTCAAACCCACAGTACCCATCGCTACAAACAAACGACGTTTAAACTAATATATTCAGTGTTGAATAGTTGAAAAAAGATTCAGAATTCAATAGTAATGTCAATTCAATCAGTGCCTCTATTTTTTTTGATGTGGTTGTGTTTTCTGAGCTGGATGGATTATTTGAGAAGCTTTCATTGCCCTACTAGGCAACATCTTCAGTGAATACGTCAATTTGTTGAAGTGAGCTTTTAGATTTCTCCACGAGTTTATTAGTCATCTCTCCTGGTGACCTTGGGCGTGGTTGGTTGTTTTTATGTGTTTTCACACCTTCTAAGCTACTTGTGGTATTGGCACTGATTGTTTCTTTGACTTAAACTTTGACCCTTTTTGCGTGTAAGGTTTCTTTATTATCGGTTGATAAATTTTGTCCATCTCGATGTGTCTATTGATTGACGATTCACTGGAATACTAGGCTTCTAAAAGCATTCTCTAGCATTCTTGGTGTTTCCTCTGTCTGTCTAATATTTGGACGCTGGTTGTCCCAGTCGAATTGATGTTCGTGGTTGTCTGTATGCAGTGAGGCGATATGAGGGAGTGGATGTCATGTCTTTTGACGGCTAGCTGATGTTCGTGTATAGGAAGACGAAGGGGACGTCCACTTTGACCAATGTAGTGTTTTTCACAGTTGTTACACTTTATTTTGTAGATGATGTTGGTTTTGTCTTCTTTCGCTGTTGAGTCTTTCGGTTGACATAGAATTGAGTGAAGCGACTTTGTTGGTTTGTGTGAGACGTTAATTCCTAAAGGTTTGAAGAGTGTTGAAGGGATTTCTGAGATGTCCCTTGTATATGGTAGGTCGATTTTCTTTGTGCTTTCCTTTGAGGCCTTTGATTTGATAGGTTGAATTGGGGGTGTATGTCTTTTGATGAAATTCCATGGATATCCATTCTTTTGGAAGACATCCAAGAGATATCTTTCTTCAATTTTCATTAAGTTAGGAGTGCTGCAATGAGTCCTGGTTCTGCAGAAGAGGATATTTCACTAATAATGTCAAATCAATCAGTACTTGTATGTGTTTCGAAGACTTAGCGCGTCACAGAAAGCATTTCCAATACACCACTACAGAAGACTGTCACTGACAGCTGCTCACTTCACTCCATTCTGATCATCAGATAGACATAAAGGATTAGCAGCACGGAACCCTCGCAACCAACCAATCAGGAACCCACTACCATACACAGATGCCGGAGGAAGTGAAGATGGATGGGACACTTGCTGAAGAGACCGTTGTGTAACATCACACGTCAGGTCGAATAGGAAACGACGAACTAGACATGGATCTGAAGGTGACACAGAAGTGATCGTATGTGCAGAGGAGATGAGGGCTTATGAGTAATCATCGAACCAGCTATAGAAGACTGTAAAGAACAAGATTTGGTGGAGATGTTCTGCTGACGTCGTATGTTCCATCGCGAATCCAAGGGAATACTAGTAATAACTATAATAACAGTAAATTTATGAAAATATCAGCGGAAATGGGGGGTTATAATTTAACTTACCAACCATGGATCATCATTCGTAATTGTTGTACTCAAATGCCAACGTTCCAATTGACTAGATGACCATAAAATTTCATGTAAACACGTGATAATTGCTTCACATAATTTATTTTCTAAAATTTCACTATTTTCAATAAATACATGTTCAGAATTACTTCCACTACTACTAATACTACTTTTATTGTTTCTATGAGTAGTATGAGTGTTTCGGTGGTGTTGATTCCCTACATAATGATCTATCCATTGATGCGTTGAAGGATAATTGACATCAGAATGTCCTGACAGTGAGGCTGGATTTCGATACATTAATAAACGATCTGGTAAATTAATGGAGTTTGATTTTTCTCTAGGATATGGCACGATCGTGGGAATCTTGGCATCGATTGAATCCCTCAATTCATTACAGACATGTGCTTCTCCTGGATAACAAGCACATATTGAATTACTAAATACAGAGTCAGTGTCACTGTTCGTTAGAGACGGTAATCGAGATGAATGAATTTGTGAAAGCGAAGATGATGACGTTGAAACACCACGACCTGAATCATTCGATATCTGAAACGAAGGTAAGAATAAAGTACATTATAATGTAAAGATAGTTGCTTCAAAGTGACGTCGACAAAAAAAGGAAAGGGTACCCATTCAACAAAAGCGGAATTTAATTAAATTACGTGCCACTCCGCATCCGACACATCTGTAGTCCCAACGTTCTGGAAACAGAATTAGATATTTTGAGGGAAATCTTCATCCAAAATGGATACCCAATAAGATTCATCGACAAAAATATCAAACTAAGAATTCGGAGAAGCGAAATTTTGATTGCGCCTAAAATGAAACTCCACATGAACTTGGATTTCAAGGGAGATTTAACAAGCGATATTCTCAAGGGAAGGATTACATCACACATCTCTGAGAAGAACATTCTTTGCAGCGAAACTAAGAATAGTGTTCTCCAGTCGCCCACTGATCTGCAGAAGCCTCAAGGACAAGATCCCACATCTGACCACTTCTACTATGTGCATATATCAGTTCACCTGCTGCTGTGGAACCAGCTAGCTACATCGGTCTTTCGACGCGCACCCTGTCCAGGAGGATTCAAGAACACTATCTAGCCAGCATGGTTGCGAAAATGCAATAGTGGTGCATTAAGGAGTGCGATAATCGAACCCCTGGTTAACACTGATCATTCCATTTCAACAAACGCCTCCTGCTTCAAAGTAATCTACAGAGTCAAGAATAACCTACCGAAGGCAATATGGTTTCGTCTTCTTTGTATTGTTGAAGCTCTGGCCATTCACACAGAGAATTAGTCAACCACTTATGCTGTCATGGTAACAATTTTGTTGATTTTGATGACTTAATTTTGTTTGTTTGCCTGTTCGTTAATTGCTTATAGTTCTTCTATTCATCTACTTTGTTCCTATGTGTATCCTGAGTAAATCTCAATCATCAAACTATTCATATTAGTACATAATTTCTTTTTTAACAGCTGTTTGTGACAACTCATCACCTATGTTACTACCCTAATTTCATTAACACCTAATTTTCATGACTGATTTTGTATTATGTAACTCCAACAACCAATCTTCACCTGTTTAGTTAAAATAACCATAACTAATTGTAATTTTGTTTGACGAACTTAATTTACACATACATACAAAGTAACTCACACATATATTTGCAGTTGTACAGCTAAAAAAATGAATTCGCCGCCGTAAAGCAACTCTTCGCTGAACTACGTGTTTTGTTCTCATTAAAAGGAAAGCACACGCAAACCCCTTAGAAATCATGTCAATCCTTATGCATTTGATGATGAGCAGTCGAGATACTATGTCGGTGACAGAGCGGTTAAGACGCTCGCTGATCATGCACATGGCCTGGGTTTCGATCCCCGGCCGATGGACTCGTTTACCTCGTTGAATCAGTAATAAGACTGGTAAAGAGGATAGGTTGGGCATGAGGCTAATAACCCCATCCTGTAAAATTAAACACTGCTATAGAAACTTCAAGCCACTAGCTTGACGCCCTATGTTCCCCTGGCAACGTGAAGGAAATAAAAAAAGTCGAGATACTAAGTCTCCACAAGTGGTCAAGTACTCATAGTGTTTACATCACTTTGTCTTCCAAGTGGCAAATAGGGCTCCAAGTCTTGAGCTTCGAAGTTTCAGTAGCAGGTTTGTTCTTTTTACTAGTTAAGGTTGTAAACCTCACCCCCAACCTTCTTTGTTTACTGAACTCACTACCATCTACGCGAGGTTTAAAAGTACGTTGACCAGGAATCGAACCTCGGATCACTGAAGCACCGACGCACAACTCATACTGGTTAATATTGTGTGAATAAGACAAAGTTATCTGATGACTTCATCAAACTTCCTTTAGTGATATTACTAAATCTAGAACGATAGCTACTTTCTCCGGTACTCCCAAATGACTCACATCAAATTAAATAGTGTGCGAAGAAGTTCGATCAAAGGTGCCTGAGTAAAATCTCCCGTTTTAAGTGGTATAATAGGGTGCGCAATATTGAGGTCAGACGTCGAGTGTTAGGTAAAGAGGGGAAATCAGTTTACGAGTCGGTGAAGGTACATCAATTGAGTGAGATGGTTAGGAAGTGTGTTACACATGGCCAGTCATCGACTTCCTCAACAATGGGAAATGTTATAGCTGACATAGGGTCAAGTTGGAAAAGAGCCAGTAGTGGTCGAACCAAAACATGGCTTCATCAGTCAATGAAATCCACAACAGTTAGTTTAAGTCAAGTAGGAAAGTGTAGACTACCTGACTGGTTGGGGTCCTCGGGATGGTCAAAACCAATGGCTGAAGGCACTTGGTGATATGGCTCAAAATCCTTCACAATGATAGCGCAGATACATACACTCCTTGTGACTTATAATACTCAATAAAACTATATTGTTCTTCCATATTACTGTTCTTTTTGCCTCATATCTATGTTTACTGTCTCTATTTTGCGTTTCATTTTACTTTTTTCTCTTGCTCTGTAGGCTGATTGAAGTGTGGCGACTCGGACTGCTGCACATCGGTGGTAAGTTCTATGTTATAACCAGTCAGTTAGTCAGTCAGCTGTTCGATTAACCTTTTTTTCCTAGCAAACTCAATCTTTTTTGCCTGAGATATATGTGTGAGAAGCCCCCTTCTCACCAAGAAGAAGATCCGGTAGGTCAATGAATTTCAATATGATATCAGTTTATTTAAAGTGACTTACAGGAATTGACATGCACTTGACAATTTTCAAAAAGCTTTGTGAGCTTTTATCGAGAAGAGTGACTACTGTGAAGTGTTCCAGTAGTCCGTTTTGAATCAGACTAAAAATTTGCTAACTAGACAGTTTTTGAGATGACAGTTCACCAATGGTTTCAACTAGTAACTGAATGTATTGAGAACATAATAAGTGGTTTACTTGATACCGTAAATGGCGGTCAAGGTGGCATGCACAACTTCATGATGGCTTATACAACTGATTGATTATTATGAGTAGTTAGAAGCCAGGAGTGCTTCCTAGTCCGGTTAATGTGGTCGGTGGTATAGCGGTTGGGAAGCTTGTCGACCATACACATGGTCCGGGGTTCGATCCCCGGCCGACGGACTCCCTTAACTCGCTAAACCAGAAATAATGCTGCTAAAGAGGAAAGATTGGGCATGATGCTAGCAACCCCATTCTGTAAAATAAACCATGCTACAGAAACTTCAAGCTGCCACTAGCTTGAGGCCCTATGTTCCACTGGGAACGTGAAGGAAAGAAAAAAAAAACACCAGACGGTCGTTTCATCCGTTCTTGGCCAAACTCATCATCAATGTAATCAACTGAGCTGATTCGTTTAGACTCAGTTATAGGATCTCATGCTGAACTGACACCGGTTAGAGAGCCGTTGGGAAACCAACTGCGAATACTGGACAGCTGTTTCGTCCCAGTTTGAGACTCTTCGCCGGTACAAACCCATCGGGGCTCGAATACAAGACCTCCTGTTGACCAATGAACCACTACGACCCGATCTAATGGTTCATGAATTCCAACTTTTGCCAATTCACGATACAGCGTGACCATTAATCATTGTCTTCGGCGAGTATTTTTCCTCACACCCGACTCAGCTGCTGTACCTCACTTGTCACAACTTCCCACCTAAACCCAGGTAAATACCTACCTGAATAGGGCAGAGATTTGATTGATCCCAGGAATTCATCGTGAACTGACCGCGCTACATCGTGTATTGACAGAAGCTGGAATTCATGGGCTAATGGATCGATTCTCAGTGACTGGATGGTCTACTAGCTAGCTCAAACTGTAAACCGTAGGTCCTAGGTCCAATCCCTGGTCGTAAATGTGTACTGTTGAAGAGTTCAGAACTAGGGTGAAACAGCTAATTAGCACACTCAGGTTTTCCAATAGTTTCCTAACTGATATCGGCTCACGATGAAATCCTATAACTAATCCAATCCTCGGTAACCCACACATTCGAATATTGTTCGGTTATGGTTTGAAAGCGAGAAACTGATCTCTACCTTCTACAGTATAGCCGACAAAACTTCGTTGAAATACGCGCTATCATGAAACTTTTCGGACACATGAGAAGGAATTCCATATTAGGTTGTTTATTAGATATACCACACAGTGAAACAGTATTTACTCAAGTTTCAAAGTTGCGGGATTATAATTGATGAAATGATTATGAACAATAAATTTTGTTCGAAACGTCATCCAGCAAATAATACTGTTTTCTGACTGTGTGATATATCTAATAAACAAACTAATATGGGACTGATTTGTTTGTGTAAAGGTTTCCAGTTGCTAAGGAGATAGCTACCCTTTTAAGTTACAAAGAGATATGACTAAATATCCCAAATAGACAAGACCAAATGGTTCCATTAGACCTGCTTCCAGTAAAGTGGCGGCATGCAGAAACCTACTCTAGCCACTATTTGATTCAGCGAAGAAGGATATTCCACTCGTTATGATTCATTCAAGTCATGTCCCAACTCAGTGCGAGTTAGGAAAATGTCATTTTCTATATTTTTATAGTGTGGTGCAGCAGTTAAACAAATTCTTCTGGGGATAAACTTTACCAGATTGAAGATTTTCTAGCTTTGATTCTCGGCTGGCGGACTCCTAAACTTCATTAGGCAGGTAGAAAGGTTGGGCGTGAGGCTAGTAATCTTAGTCTGTAACAGAAGACAACATTACCCTGTACTGGAACTTCAAAGTCTCCAGCCTGAAGTCATATGCTCCGATCAGAACTCATGGAACTTAAAAAAACGTTGAAGATTCTCTAATTTAATACCTTAAAATGATTTTGTGTGAAGCGCATACATCGACACTAAATACCCAGAGAGTTACGAGACCATCAGAAACCTCATAGAATTATCAGATAATTACTGTTTTACCCTGGCAATATCGTAAAGTATTAAAACTCAGCTTGAATGCTCAAAATGTATGCTGTTGGACTTTGCCTGGAAAGAAGCACATCAGTCTAGATAGAGGAAAAGAAACCACATTGATTACGGACGCATAGTGAAGCAGAATTAAGGTTAGTAGTTAGGCTGGGAATGTAGGAACTCAAAGATTATCCTAATTCTTTATCAATTAGCCTGCTTTCACTCCATCTGACAGTCGAATGTTTACTTCAACTGACTAGTAACACAGTCTAGTGAGAGTAAAGCTGGTTAATATTTATGCACAAAATAATGACGTTTCTAGTTGTCAAATTACTTATCAGTTCATTCCGTTAATGGAAGGAAGTTTGATTATGAAACTCTTACATAAGCGACAACGGCGTGACAAATCTGTGGCATACATATAAATTCATCCGGTCAGTATATGTTTGAAATAAGGTAAAGTTAAACAGAGTAATCTTACATCAGTAGCCTTTGAGTTTATTCTGTTTAAAACTCTTGTAGGAAAACGAATCTTTGACAATCCAAAACGAGATGCTGAAACTCGATCACGACGATTCAAACTCCTAGGTAAAATAAAGAGAAAAAATAATTTTAAGAATCAATCAAGTATGAAAAGTAGACTTGATTACTTCACAATGTTAAGTGTTGTTTTGCAAGGATTTGATTGGATGGATGCGTGTTGTTGAAAGTCCCAAACTAGGACGAAACAGTATTTGTCCTCATTGTCAAACTGTATGTTTCAATAAAGATTTCATCACGAACTAAAACTAAGGTACACTGTAAAGTTATTTCGTCCCATTTTGGAATTCTTCAGTGCTGCGCACTCACCACCCCATTAGGCTTCAAACCCTTGGTCGAAATGTATCAATTCTCCTCTCGCTGATGGTTACTGGATGGATGTTCTGGGGGTGGTAATGAGAAGTCATCAACAGTGGGTTTCATCATGTCAAGATGAATTGGATGCTGCTCGATGGCAATGGTTGCCGGAAGAGCTACATCAGGAATGGAAAAAGGGTCACTGGATGTCAATTCAAGTGGCTGAATGGTCAATGGATCTTAGCTTAGAAATTTGAAAATCCTGAGCCGAGCCTCTGGTAGTGTGGTAGGTGTTCACTACAAGGGGCTACCAAACTACGAAGAAAAAGTTGTTCAGTGTTAACTGATTCTTTCTAACCGGTTTGTGACAAAATATGCATTGAAATTATTTCGAAATCCCCAGAAAAATTCTATAATCTAAATTATGTACTAATTAGGATTTTAGTTTATTAGGGATTTGTTACTAATTTCGGTACAGATTCCGTTACGAAAGCACATCACTTATGGCATCATTGGACACTGAACAGCTAATTCGCCCTAATATGGGACCTTTCATCTGTTCGCATCCAGGACTTCAGGGGGCATCAAACTCAGTGTTATCAGGCTTTGAAGGCATCTGTACTCACTGTCAACTATAGAATGGGTATCAATATGTTATAACTAAATATCGTAGCTCCAGGATCCTACCGTGGTGGATTATTCCCAAGTTTATTGGGAAGACAGGTGCTCACTGATCACAAGAGACCACGGTGGCACGGTGTCACGAATAGACAGCAGTTAGAATTCATAAGTTACTGAAAACCTCGTGACCTACAGAAGCTTACTTCCATCTCTCATGGGGTCATGTGAGCGTATTGGTCAGAATTCAGTTACACAGTGAGAAGGTAACAACTTTCTACCGTTCTCCGGTCTTTAACAATTCTCAAAATGATATCGGTTAGCGATGAAATCTATCTTGTAATACTTCCTACTCAGGAAATTCTCTGCTGGCTATCTACAAACACTTACCTTTCAGTGATAAAAACAGTTAAAAGTCAAATCTGAACAAAGAATTTACTTCTCAGTACATCCTTCCCTTCCTGTTCTTGCAATTATAAAATAGAATATTTGTTGTCGCTACGATAATGGCCCGTTATACGGAGAATACAGTTTTTACTTAGAATAACAGACTAGTTATGAGTTGTCAAAATAAATAGTCGTATTTGTGTGACAAATATGCTAGGCTGAAATCGATGACACAACATTGTGAAATGAGAGACAATGGTGGTGATTAGTCATAATGGATTCGTAGGATGTGAAGTAGGAAAATTGACAAGTCAGTTAAAGGTTATAAAAGGTGTCAGGTGACATGTCAACCTGACACCGAGCACTTGGGACAGGAAAATCTAAAATTGAATTAAATAATTAATATGAACCCGTTGCGCAAGAGATGGCTGGCTCTCGTGGCCCAAGTGGTCTAGTGGATAACGCTTTGGCTGGCGTTTGAAACTATGGGCACTGGGTTTGAGCCTCGGTGGTAGGAACATCATCACTCACTGGGGAAGGCAAGTACATCCAGCTGACCACGAGTCCCGAATAGGACGAAATGCGCGTTGTCCTGGATTCCACCGCTAGTCACAATCCACCAATTTGCTTCACAATTATTTCGCATAACTCTAATTCAAGGTTGGTTATTGAAGGTGATGGAAGCACTTTGGAGGATTAATCACATACAGCCTAAACTGTATGTACAAAAGTCAGTAGACTTCAATCTTCGCCTACCATGACGAGTATACTTGATCTATTTAAATATTATTGGTCATTAGTATGTACTTTTGTTTTTTAAATAACTGAGTAATTGTCATGAACTTTATTTTATTTTATTATTGTGAACCATGTTGGTTGTAAACTGATTGTAAAGAAACCGCGAAATGACGATATCGTCTCGCGAAATTTATCTTCTTAAGTGCCTTATTCAAACTGATATTCTGTTTTATAGTCGTAACAATTTATTTATTTATTTATTTTATTTTTGATTACACCTTGATTCCACACTGTATTTTTGGTACAAGTATGGAATTTTCAGCATGTGATGATATCGGTAGCCGAAATTTTGCAGGCCGACCATAGATATCAGGTGTGCGTCGGCAAGGGATCGAACCTCGGACCATGTGCATGGTCGGCGAGAGTCCTAACCACTGTGCCACCGACACAGAAGGGTATATTGAAAAGAATATCCTTCGTTCAGATTTGACTTTTATCTTATAAAAATAGTTAATTATAAGAAAAACACAAATAGAAATAGATATTGAACACTGATAACCCCATGGCAATAAAAAGAGAGTAAATAAAGTAATAACCAACTTACTCTCTTGGACATTTAATAATTAATTGAAAGAATGAATCAGGGAATGATGGTACATGATTTAAAATTTCTATTACATATTTAGGTGATTTATTGAAAATGTGTATTAAGGCATTGACAGCGGATAAACGAAAGTGTATCGGACTATTATATAACCGCTCCCAAAGACGTAATAATCCCATGACATCATATGAAGGACCTAGAGCAAAAACGAACAAATAATGAACAGAAACGATTAATATGGAGGATTTCATCATAAGCTGATATCAGTTGGAAAATAACTGGAAAAATCAGCTGTGAGTACTGGACAGCTGTTTCGTCCTAGTTTGGGGCTCTTCATCAGTACGCAACCAGCGTCACGATCCGAACCCAGTGCCTTCTGGTTACAAGGCGAGCTTGTATACCGTTGAGCCATTGGGACTCGGTCAAATGGTTCTTGAATTCCAACTTCTGCCAATTCACGACATAGCGTGACCATTTCCCAATGTCTTCTTCGTTGAGTTACCGCCTCATCTTCGACCTGCTGTACCCTACTGGTCATGGCTTCTCACTAGAACTCCAGGTTAACTGCCTGAATAGGGCCAGTCGCTAGTGAGCATCAGAAAGGATTAGTGTCAAGGAAATCTGACTGCCTATCGCCTAACAAATATTATCAGAAGGAAGTGAAGATGGATGGGACACACTCTGAAGAGACTGTTTTTAGTGAAATCATAGGCCAGGCCACCCTTCGAGTGGAACTTGAATAGTTAATAAACGATTTTGGTTTGGCTCCAAGAGTGATGTGGAGGAGACAAGAGCTCATGGGACATCATACAGTTAGCTATACAGGACTACAGACATCAAGGCGAAATGGGGATATTCTGCTGACGCCGCATTTTCCACTCGGAACTTCAGCGAATAATGATGATGGTAATAATAGTTATTGTGGCGGTGAACGGCTTTGTCACCACACTGTAAGCCTATTCAATTCAGTTTCATTTCAAAGTAGTATCAAGTAGTTGTAAAAAGAGCAGTTAGAAATGTCAGGCGTAAACTGAAGACTGACATTGAGAAATTTGAGCAGATGGAAAAGAAGAAATGCACAACATTTCTATTCAGAGGTCTAGTAAAGTACACAGAAAGAAAAATACACTGTTAGGTTCACGAAAACTCCTTTCTATTTTGGAAGAAGTGCCGACTGCATAAATGCATAAATCCGTGAGATGAAGATATCAAAACCTAGACATAACAATAGTAAATAGAATCAAGAAGCTAAAAGTAGCTTTACTCGTGACTATTTAACAGACGGACATGTGTGCCATGTACTACTGATAGAAATTAATAAGTATTATATATTTTGCGTGACGTCTTCTGCAAAGATTTCGAATAGTTGTGCAACAGATCAATTAAGAAAGAGGAGGGATTAAAAAATGAAACATTATGGAAAGCATGAAAAGAAAGAAGACAGAAGAGGCACAAGACAAACAACATGTGCCCATAGTTAATTTCAATGTTAGATCTTCGTAGTTTGCTGCCAGTGTATATGATTTTGGGAGATCGAAATTCTTCGAGTTCGACACTTGATTGATAACAGTTAGACAGCGCTGTTTCAGCCTACTAGTTTGAGAATCATCGGTAGTACGCACCCACTGCTGGATTTTGAAGCTAGAACCTTCTGGTTACAAGGCAAGCTTGTCTGCCATTCAGCCGCTGGCACCCAATTCGATGGCCAGTCCATGAACTCTATCTAACTTCTACCAATGCGTACTGCCGATGATTTCCAAACTAAAGTGGAACCGCTGTCCAGTACTCCAGTAGTGATTTTTGATGGTTCTCTAACTAAAAATCAATCCACGGTCAAACCCGAAATACAAATCAACTCTTGGAGATCAATGTTTCATCAAGCAAAATCGGCTCCATCCTGCCGCCTTGTCTTATTTGGGAAATCTTCAACAATTCATTTCATAAAAGATCCTGAAAAAATATGATGTGATCTGAAAAAGAAACGCTTTTCTACTGACTCATAGTTTCTAGGCTGTGCCATCTAATGATATGAGACAACCATGGAAGATTTTCTGAAAACTAGGGTGATTCAGCTGTCCAACATATATTGGTTTCATACATTTATTCCCCTTAATGAATTTGAACAAAGCAGAAACTACAGTTTTAGCAGAATAATATGGTACCATCATTTATTTCGTTGGCTTCTCTTCAGCTGCTTACAGCCTAAGTAAATTATGAGGTTTAAGTACAGACATGTTTTAACATACTTGCAAATTTTACATGTTGTCAGTTGACAGAAAGTTCCACAATTATTAGTAAACAGTGCTCAGAAGATTGCGCTTATATAGTTTTCACACAGGCAGTTCAAGTTAAAACAAAATAAATGTATGCAGAAAGTGGTAAAGGAGTTACATAATAAAGCTGAGATGTGCGTTAGATGCATAGTAACTAGTAGGTTAGGTAACAATGTACTGAGTTGAGCTCAAATCATAGAAACAAGAGACAAGGAAAATTACAGATTATAAAAGGGAGGGTGAGGTTAAAGACAAAGATCACGTAATCAGATAAGAGAAAAAAAAGGCATCCAGTTACCAAGGCAAGGAAAGACTGATAACTGATTCTTTCTGAACACATAGATCTGGTTTCAAGCGTTTGATAGAAATTGCTTCGGCAAATTTGAGGAGAATTGAGCTCTTTTGCCTATTGATAATTTTGAACGACTTTTCGACGTCCACCTCATGACTCGTGTCGAGGAGATGCCCGGTGATGGCACTGTTTAAAGCATTTGTTCCCTTTAGACGTAAGCGTTTTGGTACGTGTTCAGAAAATCGTAGATATGCCCTCCTTCTTTCTGTTCATCCAATGTAACTGCTCCCGCAGATATTGGTTTTAAAATGTTATCTGTGGTGACTGACAATGGAATCTATGACACATGTTTCGTCTGTTTTGGGACTCTTCAGTGCAGAATACCCATCACCCTAGTAACCTGTGGTGCTGCTACTGAGACACAAACTCCGCACCTGTTTTTTTTTAAATACCAAAGAGTTATAGTTTGATCTGATTAGCCACATCAGTCACAGTTTCTGCTACGGTTACCAGTTCTCTAAATAAATAAAGCTTTCAAACAGTAATAACAATTATCTCTTTAATGTCAGTGAAAAGGTTCAGCATTGTGGAATAGATCAAATAAAGTATAATTATATTTCAATAGTTTACACATAATGATAAGTTTTGTTATTGGTAATATTTCGAGCAAAATTACAACTGCCGTGTTCACACCACCGCTTGAATTGTCTTGTTTTTAACGCATTTATGATTAGTATTCATATATAATCATAGTAAATAAACAATTCCCTCCATTCATTCATCCTTATATACCTTCAAGTTTTACTTTTATTATTTCTATTATATTTATGGTCCTGTTGCTTCTTTGTTTGTTTTACTCTCAGAATTGCAAACACCAACTTATCTCCATGACGGCTGTAATCTTTGTTTTTCCCCTCACCATATCATGTAGAAAGAACATTATATTCAATATTTTTAAACATGTCAGGATTTCTATACCACATTGACAATACTGTGTGGCACAAGCCAACGGAAATTTTCACTTGTATTCTTATTATTACTACCCTAGCTGTTATCATTATTATTTCCATTTTATATGTTGCATGTTATTGACATTACCCCTATTGTAAATGTGGAAAATTTTCTGTGAGATTAATTTTATATTTATAATTTGAGGAAATTAGATGCAATATTGTGTGTGATTGATGCTGAAAATTCCATTCTGTATCACAAGTACTGTTTTTGTAATAAAGTAAATCATTATTATTATTATACATAGTTCATTTTTTGTTCATTCATTTTTGTGCATTCAAAATTATGTTCCAGGATGTTGACATTTGTGCTGGTGAGTCACCCCTCTTACATGTGTCCTGTGTGACCTTAAGTAATATAGATTCTGTTATAAGTCTCTCTTTTTTTATTTGTTCATATTAGTTTTTGGGAATAGAAACATTGTTCCAATCGATATTGTAGTTTTTGTCCCATGCTGTATATGCAGCTATAGATGAATTTCTTTTCAAGATTTTTGTAAGCTTGTGTTCCTGTGGGATTAATGACCTTTTGTTAGTCAGGTGTTTATGTTCATTCACTCTTATTTTGAGTGATCTGGCCGTTTAGCCCACATATTTAGTCAGATACTTGGTACAGGATATTTTATTAGATTCGTTGGCTTAAACGTGGTGCGAATCCCAATTCTGTCGAGGTTTCTTTGAATCCCGCCTCTGATGTACCATTTTTATATGGTATTGCGACTGTTTCTTTCCATTCTTCCTTCTTGTTATTCACCGGTTTTACCCTATTTTTTCTCTTTTATCTTTTATAAATTCTCTAGGGTAGTTGTTTTCGAGTAGCATTTTGAATAGGACGTTTATTTCTTTACACTGGTCCTCTGGTGTTGTTGTAAGTCGTCTACGTATTCTATCTGCAAGACCTTGTATTAATCCTCGTTTCACCATGAGTGGATGAGCTGAATGATGATAATCAAGGAATCTTCCAGAGTGTGTAGTTTTTCTTATATACCGTTACTCTTTGTGTTTTGCAGTCTAATATACGTAGTTCCCCAATTTCATTCTCTATTTCCATAGTGAATTTTATTCAGTCGACATGACTGTTTATCTGTGTGAGAAGAATTTCTCAACGTTTCGTCTACACTGCGCGTCGATGGCACAGTGGTTAGGACTCTCGCCGACCATGCACATGGTTCGAAGTTCGAACCCCCGCCGACGCACACCTGATATCTATGGTCGGCCTGCAGAATTTGGGCTACTGATATCATCACATGCTGAAAATTCCATACTTGTACCAAAAATACAGTGTGAAATCAAGCTGTAATAAAAAAAAATATTAAAAGTATCTCCGCCGACACTTTATTGATGACCTGAATGGTTTAAGTGCATTCTCCACCCAAAAATCCATGTGAATATGTCAGCAATTATTGGTGAGATGGGCTATACCATAACTGTGTTCTCTCTTTTAGGCCATTTTCCTTTTTTAGTCTCGTTTTCAATGCATTCTTCATGGCTATTTGATGAATAGATATTTTAGTATAAAGACTGTTTACATTAAAGCTGACTAGTATTACCTCTCCCTCTATTTTAGTGGTTTTTAGTCGTTTGTGTCACTAATTCAAATGAATTAGATTAAAAGTGCCCATTAAAATTTTCAAAAGAATGGATACTGAACAAAGAGTACTCTTTTCGATAACCTACTCTACATCATCAGGCTCTACAGTTATATATACATTATAGTGAATGAATGACCACTAGGCAGCTCTTTGGACTCATCAGGGAAACGGGAGGGAGAAGGCAAATCACAAGTGAGACTATTTCTGAGAAAAATGGCTTGTTAATTAATTAGCTCTCAGGATAGACGCCTTGAACGCTGGAAAGAACATTTTGAGGAACAATTTAACCTGCCTACAGCCACACTGAACCTCCCCGCCATCCAGCACACACCTGAATGGGATATAGACACAGGTCCTCTTTCCCTAACTCAGGTTTCTAAAGAAGTCACCAATCTGAAACAAGGTAAAGCAGCGGGACCTGATGGAATGACTCCAGAGGTATTTAAGTACGGTGGAGACAGTTTACTGTCTGCATTAACTGAGGTTCTAAGCAGCGTCTGGGAATCAAAAGAAGTCCCATCGGATTGGTGTAAGTCACTGAGTATCCCCATATACAAGAAGGGAGACAAGTCTTCCTGTGATAATCACAGAGGGATTAGCTTGACTAATATAGTATCTAAAGTCTTAGGCTCAATAATCATGCGTAGACTGAGTGGTGCTCGGGAAGCACAAACACGAGAGAGCCAGGCAGGCTTTAGAGCAGGAAGAGGGTGTATTGATCACATCTTCACCCTCCGACAGATTCTAGAACATAGGCATTTTTACCTTGACCTAAAGGTGGCATTCGATTCTATCGACCGAGAGGTTCTCTGGAGATGCTTGGCTGTAAAGGGAATGCCGAGAAAATATATTGCACTGATTAAGGCACTCTACTCGTACTCATACAGCCAGGTGAGGGCTTACGGCGAGTTGTCATCTGAACTGGTGACGACTAGTGGTGTCCGTCAAGGATGCCCATTATCCCCTTTTCTATTCAACTTCATCATAGATGTGTTAATGGACTTAACCCTAAGTGACTTCAGCGACTCAGAGAATAATCTCGTTGACTTGGAATATGCAGACGATATAGTCCTTCTAGGCGAAGACGCTGACGAAATGCAGAGTCTTCTAAACACCTTGAGCCGCAATCTACGAATGTTTGGCATGAGATTCGCTCCCGCCAAATGTCAGATGATGTTACAAGACTGGACTGCAGCGACTCCTAGATTAGAAATAGGAAGTGAAGTGGTAGAGCACGTTGACCGCTTCACTTATTTGGGAAGTACCATCAGCCAACGCCAATGGGTTGATCTCTGACGAAATCTCAGCACGAATACAGGGGGCTCGTTTCGCATTTGCCAGTTTACGCCGACTCTGGCGTAGACGAGATGTTCGACTATCAACCAAAGGGCGGGTGTATTGCTCATCAGTCCGCTCCGTCCTCCTTTATGGTTGTGAGACCTGTCCACTGAGAGTGGAAGACATGAAAAGACTAGCTGTCTTTGACCATGGGTGCCTGCATTCTATCTTCCGTGTGTAGGTGCATAATAAGTGAGCAATATTGAGGTTAGGCGTCGAGTTCTAGGTAAACAGGGGAAATTAATCGACGAAGTTGCGAAGTTACAAAGACTGAGATGGTTAGGACATGTGTTACGTATGCCAAGTCATCGCCTTCCCCGACCGACGGGCAATGTTAGCTAACATAGGGTCAGGCTGGAAAAAAGCTAGCGGCGGTCAAACAAAAACTTGGCACCAGTCAATGAAATCTACAACAGTTAGTCTAAGCCATGTAAGAAGGTGTAGACTTCCTGGTTGGGTTCCTCGGGACGGTAAAAATCTATGGTTGGAAACAATTGGTGACATGGCTCAAAATCGTTCTCAGTGGCGCAGGTGCATCCACTCCCTGTGACTTATGATTTCCAATCAAACTATGTTGTTCTTCGTTACTACTATTCCTTTGTCTCACACCTCTGTTTACTGTCTCTATTTTGCATTTCTTCTACTTTCTTCTCTTCCTTTGTGGGCTACATGGAGTGTGGCGACTTGAACTGCCGCACATATGTGCAAAGTCCTATGTCGAAAACAGACAGAATGAATGAATTAGTGTGATGAACAACATCAATGTTGTTCGAATAACATCGAATCAATAACATCAATAGATTACAGTTTAATACCATCAACATAACAATAAACTGAATGTCAGAAAAATTAGCAAAGATAATATTACAAATTCATGAATTTATAGTCTCCACCCATTGAAGGCCAAGGCAGTAGTAGGGTCTAGACTTGCTTCTTTTGGATACAGAGCGCTGGTTGTTTGAGGTGAATCGCAATAGTCTCTACTTTTTGGAACATGCGATGCTTCGATGATTTTGGCAATTTATTAGGCACCCGGTAGATGACAGAGAAGGATTCTTCCACGCTGGCTGGCTTCGTGACCGGTTCGCACCAGATGGTCCAATATCTAACTGTTAATGGTTTTAACTACACCTTTACTTAGCCATAGAGGGAGAAATCAAGTTCCTAGGGCAACGGTCAATATAACTCACTCCACCGAAAGCGCAATCGAATTGGTAGATACAATATGAAGTGGCTAGTCTAGGTACTTCATCTTTCAGTCAAGGAATCACCGTCAGTCATGTAGAAAATGATATGTGTAGTTCGCCAGCATGAAAAGTTCTTTGAACTGATTTTCTTAATTTATTCGTAATGAATTGTAGTCGTATATAAAGGGGCTCCTTTTTTACAGATAGTGAGTAGTCCTTTTCCGCCATTTTCGATCAAGGTATCCTATACAATGCTAAATTCATCTTCAATTACTTCTTCTGTGCATATAGCTCTAACCCTGTGGCTGAGAGTCCTTACTAAAATTATCTTGTACTTGATAGGAACGAGGCTGTTAAAATGTGTGTATATATTGTCCTGTCCAAGTACTTTTTCTATGCAAATTTCTTTTTATGCTACTATTTGGTTTTCTTGTAAGGAGGATATCTATGAAGGCAATTAATTCTGTCTTGAGATTCCTCTTCACATGTGAATTTCATAGCTGATTGTACTTCATTGAATTCAGTAATTTACTGTACTTCTATCAGAACCATTATCACAAAGAATAAGGGTATCATTCTGATATGTATTCATATATATATATATATATGGTGATCTCTCTTTCTGTTTGCTCGCTTAGTCTGTGACCATTTCACTTTGATGAACCTGTCTCCTTTAACAATGTATATTACCCTTATATTATATATAATATGAGTGTTTGTTGACAGTCCGTTGCTTGGTGACATATCCATATTATATGTGTGGTTGTTGACATGTCTGCTATATTTTGCTATGTATATATGGCTCGATACTCCATTATAATTAGCCATTCATGTTAAGACTGTCTATTGATTTGTTCACACACTTGTCTGGACATTCATATATATTTCGCTCTCACAATCTTGTGTGACACTACTTTGGTGTGATACCACTTTTGCATTCTCCTTGTGTTTGGAAAATATAAAAATCATCGCAAACCTAGTGGTCTTCTGATTTCCGCCTTCTTGCGTCAGGACTATTAAATTCTCGACCAGTACATAGGAATAATTTGGCGACGAGTACATAACAATTTGGTGACGGGGAAAACTACTATTAACCACTCAGCAGCAGCAACATAACACATTCATCCATATGTCGGCAATAAAATGAGAGCTTATTGATATGGTTGTTCTACTATTCTAGTTTATTCATCAAAAATCTCAGCGAAAATGTTCGTATACTTACCATGTTTTAATAAATCCAGAAAGAGTTTAACAACTTCATAATCTTGTAGAAATATGATCATATTTTGATCATTCGTAAATAATGAGCTAAATCCACCCCAGTCTTTAAGGAATAACTGTGACTTGTACTTCTCTCCAACTCGATCAGATAAGGCTAATTTGTGAATAAACTAAAAAATTAAAAAATAAAACAAAGATTTCAATTTCAATGAAAGAATATGAAGAGTTGACTGAATAATAGATGTAACATTACTTTATTATTATTATTGTTATTATTATTATTATTACTGTTCCCTTGGGTTCCTAGTGGAATATAGGGCTTCAAACTACACGTCTCCACTTGCCACTTCTGTCTTCCTTCTGCTGTACTTTTCACCTGCATCCATGTTAGTTAATTCATACTCTTTCAACTCCTCTTTACACGATCTCCTCCATGTAACCCTTTCACTGACGTCCCACACGCCACTTACTTCCCTTTTGACCTGGTTCCAGTCGAGAGATGACCTGACGCGCGCGGGATGTCACCCGGCGGCGGCCTCCTCAGCGAGTGAGTGTCCAATCCATCTCAATCCACTTTCTCCTGCATATTTGTTGGTTGGCGATTGGTTCTTGTTTTGTTTGTTCCCAGCCATAGTTTCTTGTTGGTGGTGATTCTTTCCGGCCCGGCCATCTGATCTTCAGTATAGATCCAGAGAAGACAGTTGTTGGTTGACAAACGTCTGCAACAGGTTGTTGGAAATATTCTTTGTAACTCACCCGCCAAGTTTCTGATCCGTATAGAAGAACTGACTGACTTGACGTTGTTTGTATTGAAAATCCGACTGAATTTTGTTGTTGATGCTGGCTGAGTGACGAAGATTTCCAGATTGATTCCAGTTGGATGATGAATGTGTTTCTCGCCTTCCCGATTCTCCATTCTCTCAATATCCCCGTCCATTCCTCCTGTAGTTGAGACAATGCTCCCTAGATAAGTGAATGAAGTAACCTCTTTCAGATCCCTCCCGTTGATGGTGATTGGCGCTGGATGTTGCTGTTTTTGTTGTTGTTTGTTGGTTATTTTTGTAACCCCGTCTTGTCTATGTTCACCTGGAGTCCTGCCTTCGCTGGCTGCTTCTTCGACCAGTTTGTCGGTTTCTGCTTGTAAGTCTTCGATTTTGTGTAACATCAAACATAAATCATCCACGCGCGAAATCCAGGTCTTCTAGGTTCTTCACATCGGTCCAGGATATCCCTGTCTTCTCATTTCCCGCTATCTGACGCATGATCCAGTCCACCACAATTAGGAATATCATTGATGATAATCCTAATTGTGGTGAACCATTACATAGATGCAGAAAAATAAATAACATGAGCATGAGAAAGTATGAAATACAGATCAATCATGAAAATTGTCAAGTATTGGTTTTCAGGGATTTGGATAGTTTCAGGATTTCATCATGAACTGATATTTGTTAGACGACCACTGGAAAACCTGCAGGGTGTACTGTCAGACAGCTGTCTCATCCTGGTTTGGAACTCTTCTGCAGTATGCCTCCACCACCACGGTCCGGTTACAAGGCAAGCTCGTTGACCATTAAGCCACTGGGACCCGACTCCTTAATGGCCATCCCATGAATTTCAACCTCTGAAAATTCATGATATAGCACGACCACTAGCGAATATCATCCACAGCAAGTGTTTGTCCTCACACTCGACTGACCTTCTGCACCCGCCTGATGATGACTTCCCACTGGGACCCAGGTAACCACCCACCTGGATAGGACCAGTCACTAGTGAGCATCAGGTTGATATTTAAGTGTTGGTTCGCTGGGATTTGGTCGGTTTCAGGATTGCATTATGGACAGTTGGGTCGGCTCCCAGTGGCTTAATGGTCTAAGAGATCACCTTGTAACCAAAAAGGTTCCTGGGTTGGAACTCTGTCGGTGGGTTCGTACTAGCGAATAGTCCCATGCTATCCACTACTTTCTTCTGGTTTTCCAATTGTCCTTTAACCGATGTCAGTTCATAATAAAATCCTGAAAGCATTGAAATAAGAGGAAAGAGTGGGATAAGGCGTTGAAGTGTTAGGCTTCACTAAGTATTGACTGAGAATGCTTCTGAACACATCACAAGGCGAACAAAGTGGATGAACATGCTTCTATTAGATGTTGGGATGCAATCTCAAGGAAGCCTTGTCTTAGACTTAGATTTCGTGCTTGTTAGCACTCACCAGTAGTCAGGAAGGCGTAGGAAGGAACTCATGTTCCTTCAGAAATTCGAACCCACATCATCTTGTGGTGCAGTCAGAGGTGTTACCACTGAGCTATTCGGGTCCAGGATTTACCTACCTCCTATAGGACTGTATTAGATAATCTGAATAAGCACTACCTAGTAAGCAAGTAGGGTCATTTGTTTAGTGTTTTGTTGGGTACACGGGTGACACAGAATTGAATTCATGAGGACATATGGACTCCTTCAAGCTTGCAGATAAGCCTTCCTGACTGGTGAGTACCAACAAGTATGGAGAGCCTAGCTGTTGGGATTCATGGTGACTGCCTTCAATCATCTAATGACAATAACAATTAAGGGTGCACCGTGATGACGAGTCATTTAGCATGGTGGGCATATTCAGAACTTGACTGATAGAATTCGGTCTACACCAAACAAACGACTAGATTCACCATTCTCTGTAGATCAGGGCTAAAAAATGACCGGAATTCTCACCGAAGAATTCTTTCCATCAAGTTTATTACAGTGCAAAGGAAGATTTACAACCGAAAGGTAAACCAAAGTTAGAATTCGGGTTATAAAATCATTTTTAAAAAATTAGTTCCATTTATAAATTTAAATAAAGCAATACGAAGAAGTAATTTATCTGGATCGTTTAATGGGTTATTTGCGCAACACATTTCGAACAATCTGATCACACACGGACTTGTCATAGGAATATATATATAAAAATTAATAAAGAGGTAAGAGGTGAGAAAAATAGACTTAGGTCAAGTTAAAAGGACATATTTAAGGTCAAAATAACAATGAAGACCACAAAACCAAATAGCAGAGGTAATAGTATATCTGCTATGGTATCAGAACAAAATTTACCAAAGAAGGTTTAATGTGATAACGAATTGTTTTTGAACACAGAGAGGTGTTTTAAACATTCTAATTGCTAGACCTTCCACAAACTTTAGGATACACTCTAAACACGTTTTATAGATAGGTTTAAAAGATGTGTTAACGTCAATTTTATGACTTGTGTCTATAATATATTTCGCAATGAAGGAGTTAGGTCTCCTGTTCTCACCATTAATGGGTTCTGAAGGTTCCATTTGTTTCTGGAGTCATTTAGGAATATGCTCTGAAGCCAGCCCTTAATTGCAAAGATCGATGAGTCCTCTGCATGTATGTGTGTGTGTCCACACCTACATTCAAATTGGAAAATACAGTGGGATGTGACATTATTTTTCGCATGTTTGAAGGGCTCAGGTAAAGATACTGGCTTCACATTCTCAATTATTATGATATTGGCTGCATACAAAGTTTTTTTAACACCAGTATTTAGTCTTTGTCTAGTTATCAAGCTGCTATGATGCCTCATGCCAATTTTTGCCAACAAACAGCGGTTTTCACATGAATGTAAACATGGAGGGTCCCAGTGGCTCAATGGTCTACGAGCTCGCCTTGTAACCGGAAGGTCCTGGGTTCGAATCCCGGTGGGTGCGTACTGCTGAGGAGTCCCAAACTAGGACGAAACATCTGTCCAGTACTCCCAGGTTTTCCAGTGGTTCTCTAACTGATGTCAGCTCATGATTAAATCCTCCATGCAATCAAACAAAATCCCTACAACAAACCAATACTTGAATGTAAACAATTTAAAGATATGTGGGAATATTAAAAAACCTCCTTAATTTCAAATGTTGCAAGAATAACTCCCTTTTTTATATAGGGTTCTGATTATCTATCAAAATGACTATAGTCTGTGTTTAGCACCTAGAATTACGAAAGAGGGTTTTAAAGTTAAGCTTTGGTTCCACATACTTTTTCCATATTAAAAATATACTCCATTAACCCTGAACAATAGTCGTTATGATTAATTAACTACTCCTGTGGAGCCAGTTAGTTGCATAGGCCGTACAATTAGGCGTGTTTCTCATCGGATCTCCGAACATCACCCCACATAGTGGTTGGTTAAGTAAAGGACAAACAAAATCTATTCGTAGCGCTATTCTATCCCAGCTTGCGGACAGAGAACACAAGATTGATGTTAACGAAGCGGCTTTCAAAGTCATTTTTCGCATACCAACAAATCTCAGCTTTGCCTTAAGAGTTCGTTTACTAATTACTGCTGAGGTTGGCCATTGGGATCCACAGTAAGAAGCCTAATTTATGCGTCCAAAAGAAGCTAGTTCAGATATTGTCCTTATCCCGCTAGCCATCTGGGTTTGAATGATCCTCAATTTTCGTAGAAATTTTCCTAATTTTAGTTGATATTCTTACTATATGCTATTATATTTTTATTATTATTATTATTTAAGGATCTTAAATGAACTGTAATTCCATTGTGATCTTACTTAACAAATCGATATTATTTAGAAAACACTTATATTGTTATTAACTACCAATCTTGAATATTTTGTGTATATAAACAGAAGAGGAGGAGATTATCGAAAGGGGGATATTCTTTGCTCAATTATTTTGTTTTATAGACCTCTGAAGGATTGTGGCGCGTACCCATCGTTGACATACGTTTTTACAAAATGATGAGGATATCATGTGCTGCGCATGCCTAACCATCGCCTCCCCCGACGGGCATTACTAGCTGATATAGATGCAGGTTGGAAAAGAGCCAGCGGTGACCAAACAAAAACATGGCATCAATCCATGAAATCCTTGACAGTTAAACTGAGGGCCCGCGTTGGAGCCCTCGGGACTCTAGGAATCAATGGCTGGAGACAATAGGTGACATGGCTCAAAATCGTTGTCAATGGCCAGCGCAGATGTATTCAGTGTCTGTAATCTTTAATATTCCTTTCTACCATTACCCATTCTGTTTCACTCTTATACTTGTCAAACTCCATTGATTCTCTTCACTCATCTTCTTGTCTACCTCTGTGTGCTATTTGGAACGTGGCAACTCGAACTGGTGCACTTCGGTGCCAAGTTCTATGTTGAATCCGTATAGACAAACAGACAGACAAGGATATCTTAAATCATGGCTATTAGAAGGCGTCTTACTGTGTCTGGTGATCATAAACCAGGGGAGAAAACATGTTGGTCAACTCCCACTGTATATCATGCTATTATTGTAATATTCTTGGAATTCTTCGCCTTCGGATTATTGACCACTCCGATGATCTCGGTGTTAGATGAAACATTCCCCCAAAACACACTTTCCTAATGAATGGAATTATACAAAGGGTAAAAGGTTTCTTGTCATTCTTCAGAGCTCCATTTTTGGATGCCCTCTCCCATATATTTGTGAGGAAACCGTTCTTCCTCCTAACAGTCACTTTAATACATGCTCTTCTATACCACTGATGAAAATTAGTCATTAGTGGTACTTCACCATGGTAAGCATATAGAGTGTCATTGCAGTGAGATTTTCATTCGCCTTGACATATGTCACTGATATAACAACAGAAGAGGATAGAAGTTGGGGCTATAGTAGATTCGTTTCAACCACATTCGCAGTCAGTCCCATCAGCTCACCTGCACTCGGTGCATATCTAGATCGAGTGCACAGTATCCAGTAACTAATACTGTTCCTTCACTGTGTGATACATCTAATAAACAAACTAATATGGAAGTATAGCCAAAAATATTCATTCAGACATCTATAAAAGACAAAATAATCGAGCAAAGAATATCCCCCTTTCGATAATTTCCCCCTCTTCTGGCTCTACAATCATATATGCATGTTTATACACATAGAATATTCTAGATTTTCTAACTCATGGAAAATTCCCATTGTATTGGTTTTTGTAGGGATTTTGTTTGATTGCATGGAGGATTTAATCATGAGCTGACATCAGTTAGAGAACCACTGGAAAACCTGGGAGTACTGGACAGCTGTTTCGTCCTAGTTTGGGACTCCTCAGCAGTACGCACCCACCGAGATTATCCTGGGTTCGAATCCCGGTGGGTGCGTACTGCTGAGGAGTCCCAATCTAGGACGAAACAGCTGTCCAGTACTCCCAGGTTTTCCAGTGGTTCTCTAACTGATGTCAGCTCATGATTAAATCCTCCATGCAATTCCCATTGTAACATATAGAAAATCAAAACAAGTGATTCAGCGTAGAGACTCTTTTCAACAACGAATTTATTATCAAGCTGTACAGTCGTTATATATATATATATATATATATATATATATATATGGTTATTAAGAAGTTTTTTCCAAGAGGGTGCAAGAACACTATCCTGAATGGTTACGAAAAGGTGGAAGTGGAGCAATAAGAAGCGCGATCATTGAACATCTGGTCGATAATTATCACCCAATGATCTCTACAGTATCCGCCTTTTAAAGTCATCTACAAGGCAAAGAGTAATTTACCCAAATCCTTACGTACCTGACTCATCTGTATTGCTGAAGCTTTGGCTATCGAAACACAGAAGCCTGATCTCTGTGTACAGAAAAAGTTCGTTCAACCCCTCCAACTTTCGTGGTTTTAATCCCTCCACACTGCTAAAGTATGGTAATCCTCAATCATATTTCAGCTCCACCAATTTTTCATTTTTTCATTGTGTCTATTCAATTTTTATACTCTTCCTTATTTAGTCAATTGTTACTACCATTAGTATTCTCACCTTTGAACTGTCCCCGGTATTATTTCACTTGTTCCACTTGTCATTCTAAATCAATTCGTTTTTACAACGTTAAATTCTATGCTATCAAATTTCACACAATATTACGTAACGCCTTTTGTTTTATTCGATTTGTCTACTAATCCGATAATTGCACACCCTTTTTCAAGTTCTATCCATCCTATGGATTATTCTATATATGACATTAATTTGCTTTGCCACTTTACACTTACCTATGAGTATACTCACAAACACTTTAGTTTTAATTGCATTTCATACTATTATTATTATTATTTAATACATTCACACCTATGATTCAATTCCCTCACCGGATATATATATATATATATATATATATATATATATATAACTGTACAGCTTGATGATAAATTCGTTGAAAAGAGTCTCTACGCTGAATCACTTGTTATGATTTTCTATATTCTAGATTTGTAGTCAATAACAATATTAGTGTGCTTTTTAAATAATATCGATTTGTAAAGTAAGATCACAATAGAATTACACTTCATTACAGATCCTTAAATTATAATAGTAATAAAGATATAATAGCAAATAGAATATCAACTAAAATTAGAGAAATTCCACAAAAATTCTGGATCATTCAAACCTGGATGGATAAGGTAGTGATAATGTCTGAACTAACTTCTTTTGGATGCATAAATTAGGCTTGTTAATATGCATCTGAGAACCAAATCCAATTTTTGGACGTCTTAGTCAAGCGAACAACCACAGGGAAATTAGAAACTCAAGTTTATAGAAAATCAACTCTCACAGACTAAATACTGAATTACTACAGCAACAACCCAATAACACACAAAAGGAATTGCATGCAAACACTATTCAAGAAAGCCAGCCAGGACTCATTGCAGCACTCCCATCATAAGGAAAATTGAAGAAAGATATCTCATGGACGTCTTCCGAAAGAATGGATATCCACGTGAATTCATCAAAAGACATATGCCCCAAAGTCAACCTATCAAACTAAAAGCCTCCAAGGAAAGCACAAAGAAAATCGCCTTACCATATATCAAGGATATCCCAGAAATCACTGCAACACTCATCAAACCTTTAGGAATTGACGTCTCACACAAACCAACAAAGTCACTTCACTCAATTCTATTTATGTCAACCAAAAGACTCAACAGTGAAAGAAGATAAAACCAACATCATCTACAAAATAAATTGTAACAACTGTGAAAAACACTACATTGGTCAAAGTGGACGTCCCCTTCGTCTTCCTATACATGAACATAAGCTAACCGTCAAAAGACATGATATCCACTCCCTCATATTGTAACAACAGAAGACAAGGGCGAAGCAACAGATCGTTTTATTATGAAAATCAACACGTATTTATACATATTTCACATACATTATTATAGCTTATGCAAGTAGACAAGCGCAGTCATCTGATTGGTTGTTTATCAGAAGTTAGGCAGACAAACGCAGGCTTCTGATTGGTTGTTTCGGGATTCCTCGACAAATAGAGTTCTCTGTCTGCGAATCATATTTTGCCACGTTAAGTCTGCTGTGATTGGTTGTTGAATCAGCCTTGCTCATATTTTCTCACGGCCTGCTCTCACCACAATATCACTCGCTACATACAGACAATTACGGACATAAATTCGACTGGGACAATGTTCAAATATTAGACAGAGGAAACAACAAGAATGCTAGAGAATATTTCGAAGGCAGACTGGTATTCCAGTGAATCGTCAATCAATAGACACATCGAGATAGACAAAATTTATCAACCCATAAAAAAGAAACCTCACACACAAAGGGTCAAAGTTCAAATTAAAGAAACAATCAGTTTCAATACAAGTAACCTAGAAGGTGTGAAAACAAACAAAACAACTAATCACGTCCAAGGTCACCAGGAGAGATGATTAATAAACTCGTTTAGAAATCCAAAAACTCATTTCAATGAACTGAAGTATGCGCTAGAGATGTCACCCAGTAGGGTGATGAAAGCTTCGTAAATCAACTATCCAGCTCAGAGAACACAAACACACCAAAATCATCCACCTGAACTACAAATCTTCTCTATCATATCGCTATATCTTTTTGTTTATTTAAATGTATCTTTCATTATAATAAAAAACAAACAGCAAATAGGTCGTCATGTATATAAATAAATAACGCTTACCTTTAATACAAATTTTTTAGTCTCAAGATCCACTTGATCATCAGATTTTATAAGTAAGCTGTACAAATGTACAACTAAATCTGTTTCATAAATTAACAGTGTCATTTGATCACCAGTATTTGAAAGATCAAAACAATTCCCCAATAGATTGATAACATTTCTCACCTAAAAAGGGAATTCAATAGACAAAATATTTTTGTAAAAAAAATGCCCTTTGTGAACAAAGTGAACAAAAAGTTAAAATTTAGGAATATTATTCGATTCTCTAACTAGTAAGTAAATAATTGGTCAGATTTGTCTCATTAAAGTAAAAGTCTCGGGATTCATTGGAGGACTTAGATATATACTCATAGATGAGTGCTGCTAAAGAAGCCCAGACAAGACAAAAACAACTGTCCAGTACACCTTGATTTTCAATGATCCTCTTTCTGAAGTCAGCTGACACTTAAAAATGCTGACATCATATAGAAACTTAAACCTCCATTTTATTCATCAGCAATGAGTTGAATACATCGAAAGAGAATTTAGTTGTGCGTTAAAGAAGTTCAACTACCTGTGTATTACAACAGCTGGTAAATGGAAAGCCCGTAACCCGTTTAAATCCCTGGTAGAGTCATGGGTACTTCTGAGCGAAACGCTCCAAAAATCAGCGAAACAACTGTCAAGTTTAGTGGTCCTGTAACTGAATTCATTTCAAGATAAGTGCTGAAATTAAATCATTGGGCTACATGACTGTCCATAGAGTGCATATTTTAATATTATTATTTATATTTTATTCCTTTGCGTTCCGACTGAAAAATACGGCTTCGAGGTTGACCTCTGAAGTGTCAGTCGCACTCGTGTTTATTTCTTCAAAATGGATGGGGTTGCCGGTCTTATATCCAACCTTTCCTCTTTACTGCGCTCACTAATGACTAAGTGAAGTTTAGGAGTGTGTCAAGTGGGGATCGAACGCCGAACCACTTGCGTGGTTGGCGATGCCTCCATTGAGTATGACGCGTCAACTTACGTGCATTCCAAAACTACTTTGGATATACCGTCAAATATGATGAAAATTTGAAACATGGCTCAGATAAAACAATATTCCATTGAATGATATTCTGTAGTATATATAAATGTATTGTCCGGAATAAAGCTACTACTTATAAATTTCTGTCAGTAGTACATGACACACACACATGTAACTTCCATCAAAAGTTTCTGTTTTATCCGCTACGTCCTCTTGAGTGTTACCAGATCTAGTTATGTCTTATTACTGTCCCTACTCGCACTGTATTCACCTCCGAAGTTGGCTGACGTTAACATTTTTCTGATTGTATAAACAGGATTAAATCTTCCACTCTGGAAGGTATTTTCATGAACTTGACCTGCCTACACCAGTGTACATTCTTCCTCTACAAAATAACATATCACATATTGTAATCTCGGTTCTTGTTATGCATTTAACTGGTTCTATCATTAATTTGCCTTCCTGTCATAAAAAACATTAGGACAGGAAAGAAATATATTATTCATTAGTACGTTGTACGCAGGAGTCAGACTAATCATTCGGTCTTCGCCTAGACAGAAGTTCGTGTCATCTCTAGTCACTTAAAACACAGCTTTTTTTAAACACTAAAATTCTATTTAATTCAATTTAGATTTTGTCGTCGACTGATTGGACCGAAGTGCTCGGTTTCAGGTTGATATGCCGGCTTCTTGTGTTGATGTTTCAACGATGTCTGGTTGTGTGACTCGGTTGGAACGCCATCACTCACTGGAGAATGCAGTTACATCCAGATGATGAGTCCCAAATAGGACGAAATGCACGTCGTCCTGGATTCCACTGCAGGTCACCTATTGCTCATATAAAATAACTATATAAATGACTCTAGTAATTTTCGGTTATTTGCCTTCAGGAGAATAGATCTTGCCTCCTCAGTTGGTTATCTGTGGCTTTCCATCATCTAGTGGTCATTTATATACTGTCATATGTTGAAGTACTGTGAGTGAATAACGACAGTTTTCATAGTGTAACAGAAGAATGATTCCTGTCTTCCTCATAGTAATAAAAGGAATGTTTCCAAAGGTATGTCATTAGAATCGCAAGTTTTAGATAACACAGAAAATCTTGCCAGAGGAATAGGAACCAAACGTCTTCGAACCACAGAAATGATGGCGATTCCCGAGTACTACACACAGAAGTTTTTAGTCAATGAACAACCTACAATAGACTTCATTTATTTCAACGCTTAATACATAATTTTTTAAAATTAATTTTTCCTCCTGCCCCCCCACCATGATTACATAATTACTCCCCATGACATTGATCTTAACTTGTCCCTTATTCATTTCTAGTTGACCTTTACTCAGTCGTGTAAATTAAATTACGTCAAGCAATTTACTTATTTGAATTTTTAAGTTTCTATGCGATCAACCTTTCCTGCTTCACGTAATTATTATTTAAAACTCATAGTTCTAATGATACGATTTGGAAAGGCACCCCAGTGTGTGCCCCCTGCCGATGAGTTCCAAATTAGGGCGAAACAGCCGCCTGACAGTACCCCATTCTAACTGATATCGACCTGTGGTCATGCTTGAGACAAATCAGATTCCTATATACTAACTCTTGCTAGTAACTGACTTCCGGAAGGAGTTATCCAGAGTCCTAGTATGCAATCGTCACCAATGGGGTCAACCCGATTGGCAATGAGGACAAATACTCGCTACCGATGACACTGGTCACGAATTCATAGAAGTTAGAATTCATGGGTTGGCCATTGAATCGGCGGCCAGTAGCTGAATAGTATAGGAGCTTGCCTTCTAAGCGGAAGGTCCTGTATTCAAAACCCCGTGGATGCGTTCTACTGAGGAGTCTGAAGACAGAACGAAACAGCTTCTCAGTACTCCCTGGTTATCAGTGGTCCTCTGACAGATATCAACTTGGGAAAAATCTATATATCTTTGGAACCACGAACTGTTGGTTTCATATAGACTAGCTAATTTGTTATATGTTTACTCTAACGAAAGATAATCCCAAAGTCGATCCTCTGTGTTTTCATTGGAAAGCTCATAACTATGCCAAAACAAACACTCGATGTTACATAACTTTCAGTGATTATCCAGCCAGTGGCTGTCGGTGACGAAATTTGACTTAAAATCGATCAAATCAAAGCTAATTTATAAATTCGACGGACGACTGGACAGCTGTGTAGGTCAGTGTACAAGAATATATATTATTTTGTCGATAATGGCTATCAGTGAAATGGAGAACACACATTGTTTTCCCCCTTTGAGACACATCGTCTGAATATATATCTGCACCCACCAGACCTGGTACTGTTCCCACTATCACTCAAACCCAACAACACGTAGAAGACAAAAAGAAGTGGCAAAGGAAGGAGCAACTTACCAGTACCATTGTTGGACAAGTTGTTGCAAAATTAATCAATGTAATTAAATCTTTAATTTGTGTATTTGGTATAATTTTTGCTTCTATCAATTTGCAAATATTTTTCCGTATTTCTGCTATCACATGTAATTCATACGCGTCAACATCATCGATTGTATTCGTTATGGGTGGAACAGGAAGGCTTAGACAATCAATATTACTATTATTATTATTATTATTATCTCCTGTTTGTGATTGTGGTTGTGGTGATAATAATGGTGGACTTGTTTGCAGGAAGTTTAAACATGAACCCAAAACTCTAAAACAAATAAATAAAAATGAATATCAACAAAGAGAAATCAAATTTTCATTCAAACATTATTATGAATAAGGAAGGCATTAAGAATTGCATGGAGGATTTAATCATGAGCTGACATCAGTTAGAGAACCACTGGAAAACCTGCATGGAGTACTGGACAGCTGTTTCGTGCTAGTTTGGGACTCTTCAGCAGTACGCACCCACCGGGATTCGAACCCAGGACCTTCTGGTTACAAGGCCAGCGAGCTTGTAGACCATTGAGCCACTGGGACCCGATCCAATGGTCCTTGAATTCTAACTTCTGCCAATTCCCGAGCATTAAGAATTATAAAGGTTTTTGTATTTCCCAATGAATGAAAAACAAAATGACATTGTTTTAGAGTGTTGGGTTGTGTAGGGATTTGATTAGTTACAGGATTTCATTATGATTTGACATTAGTAAGAGGACCATTGGAAAACCTGCTGGGAGTACTGGACAACTGTTTCGTCCTAGTCTTGAACTCTTCACAGTACGCACCCACCAATATTGTTTTTATTGACGTTATATCAACGTAATATCATAAACACTCCATATCAAGTGGAATCCAAATTGTTTGAACAGAAATGATGAACTAAAACAGAATCTGACCTGGTTGCAACACCTCCCTTCCCTCCCCAATGAAGTGACAAAATCAACACAAATGTGATGAGCAAGTTCACTATGTAAACACACACACACTTCTTTTATAATTTTACACACTGATCAAATCCAATAATCTACACTTGGTTTTGTCATCTTTACCAATTGGCCAATTTGAAAACGAGAAATTACTCCAGACTGACAAACAATGACCAAGTTGGTAAACTTTGTTTTGATACCGTAGCAGATGCACTGTTACCTTTGATATTTGGTTTAGTGTTCTTCATTATTATTTTGACTTTCAATACGTCCTTTTAACTTGACCTAAGTTGTCTATTTTCTCATCCCTTAACTCTTTGTTATATATTTATTTTCTATTTTTTGATTACAGTTTGATTCCATACTGTATTTTTGGTACAAGTATGGAACTCTCCGCATGGATATCGGTAGCCCAAATTTTGCAGGCCGACCATAGATATCAGGTGTGCGTCGGCGGGGGTTCGAACCTCGAACCATGTGCATGGTCGGCGAGAGTCCTAACCACTGTGCCACCGACGCATGAGATTGCGTAAATTCCGTTTTAATAATACTTTGATAAGGCTATTAGCAGCAGCATCAAATAGCGAAATGTCAGTAAAAACAGCAATATATTTTTCATTCATTGGGAAATACAAAAAGCTTTATTATAATGAATACCATATACCCAATGCCCAAATTTTTTCAAACCGTTAAAAGTGAACATGGTTTGGACATATATCATGCATTAAGAAGACAAATTTCGCGAGATGATATCATTTCGTAGTTTCTTTACAATCGCTTTACAACTAACATGGTTAACAATGATAAAATAAAGATCATGACAATTACTCAGTTAAATAAAAACAAAAGTACATAATAATGACCAATCATATTTAAATAGGTCAAGTAGTCAGTCCATGGTAGGCGAAGATTAAAGTCTATTGATTTTTCTACACACAGTTTAGAGTGTATATGATTAATCCAAAGTGATTCCATCACCTTCAATAACCAACCCTGAATTGGGGTTATGTGAAATAATTGTGAAACAGTCATTAATATTGATTTTGTGACCAGACATTAATAAGTGTTTTGCAATGGATGATGCTGGATTTTTCTATTCAGATTAATCGCATTGGGATTTTCTATATGATTTACTAGCCATTTTGGAACATGTTCTTTTCGATCACCATGTTGGAACATTCTGTTGGTTCTACCTATATAGTGTGTGTCACCGCAGCTGTAGGTGAACTTGTGTGCAAGCTGCCGATGAGCCGCAGACTAGGACTAAACAGCTGTCCAGTTCTCTCTGATTTTCAGCGGTTCTCTGATTGATATCAATCCATGAAGTAACCTGAAAAGAACAGAGTCCCTACAAACTAATTCTTGAAAAGAAATACTGCCATTCTGGATAATGCTTTATTTTCTCTTCAGGAATATATCCAAGTCTCATAAAGTTTCAGCCTGATTTTCATACTACTTATGAGTAAGTAAATATTTAAACCACAATTTATTGGTATCATTGAAAATTTCCTGACTTCCACCTACACTCTATAAGAAACGAGGTAAATAGCCGGCCTAAACAGCTCAGTAGTAACGTCTCTGATTGCAGCACTCACTGGGTGATACGGGTTCGAGTCGCAGAAGGGACATGAGTTCCGCCAAGCTGGTTGCAGATACGCCTTGCTGACTGGTGACTGCCAACTAGTAAGAAACCTTGGTGGTCGAAGGCTTCCTCCCGATTGTCTCAAACCAAAGAATATCAGCAATTCGAAGCGTACCGTAACGGCGAGCCACCTAGCGGCATAATGACTAGATTACAAACTTGACTGATAGAGTGTATTCTTCACTAAAGATAGAACTAGACGTATGACACTAATTACTTAATAACTAGTGTCCAAACAAAGTGATTTCGTCTATATATTGTAAAATATAATTTTTCGAAAAGGTTTAAAAATTATGCTTGCTTGATGCTGTTTACCAGGCCGAAAAGCTGCTCAATGAAGGTCTTTAAACCGAAACTAAAAGTTAGATCAAGAATTGACAACAGTTAAATGACCACTGTCCGTGAAATACAGGATAGTTGCCTCTCCTTCCTTCTCAGCCTTTCAGCAGTACTCACTAATGACCCCACCAGGGGTCGAACCTAAGACATCCAGATTGCGACATGAGGCTGTTAACCGTTCAGCCATTAAGACTTAATCCAACTGCCCATGAATTCTAATTTCAGCCAGTTCGCTGGTCAATGTCAACAGAGAATATTTGTCTTTAAGCCTGACTTGGTGGACCCTGTGAATATTGGGCCACAGTTTCTCGTCAGAAATTTAGGCCCTCCATCGTGTAGTAGTCACTCACTAGTGTCTGTTATATTATTTTGCATGTTAAGAGGATGTAAGAATAGCATTCATGGAAAATTATGTATAAAGAGTAAAAGTATTTTTTCCCTGCAAGTGAAATACATCAGTCCCATGGTGACCTATATACAATTTTGCTACATAAGACTTCATAACCAGCCTTATACAACTGTGATTAGCAGTTGTTATTATTATATTACTTTCTTTTCTTGGTTTGGTTTATCAAGTTTTTTTATTAGACAAGTCATAATTCACCCATCATCAGCTTAAGTGGAATAGCTTTGACATTTCTGAAGCAAAAAAGTGAGCGAGGATAGGAGTTCTTCTAACCAAAAGCTCCGTTGGCAATAGTTCTAAACGTAGAGACTGATAAAAATTCATAGGCCGGAAAGAAACAGCTGTCCAGCATGTTACTGTGCTGAATCATGTTATCAGCATTTGTTTGAACTCATTTAGCAGTACGCACGCTCCATTTTTCAAAGCCTGGGACCTCCAGGTCGTAAGGTAAACTAGTTAACCATTCAGCCATTGGCACCCGACTTCTCAATGTTCAGCACATGAATTCTAACTTTTTTCAGTTCGTAAGATTAGCACAATTGACACCAGCCACTATCACTGGCGGTGAGTATTTGTTCTGACTCCTAACCGACTGGATCCCACTAGTAACAACTTCTCCCTAGAACTCCAGATAACTTCACGCTGTAACCAATCACTAGCGTGCTTCAGATTAATTTTCAAGATTGACTTAATGGTCTACAAGCCTGCCTGCCTGAGTTCGAAAACTAGTGGATGTGCGGTGCTGATGACTTCCAAACTAGGCAGGAACACCTATCTAGTACTCGAGATTCTCTTGTTTACTGTCGATTTTGGCACGGTATCTAAACTTCAAAACAAAGTGAAGATAACTATTGATGAAAGTCTGCGGTAGCCTGCTAAAATGTTTTTTGACAACACAAAATGTCTCTGATCCATACAGATACCGTGAGGGACTTACAACTTCCTTTCTTACCCCTGAGCGTCCCCTGTGGAACATTTTTTTCTTTCTTTGATTACAGCTTGATTCCACACACTGTATTTTTGGTACAAGCATGGAATTTTCAGCATGTGATATATCGGTAGCCCAAATTTTGCAGGCCGACCATAGACATCAGATGTGTGTCGACAGGGTATCGAACCTCGGACCATGTGCATGATCGGCGAGAGTCCTAACCACTGTGCCACCGACGCACATAAGACTTCAAGGTAGAGCTGTGAAGTTTCAGTAGCAATGGTTTTATCGTTTCTACGAGATGAGGTTGATAGTTTCACGTCCAACCTTCCATTTTTTCTACCGACCTTACCAACAGCTGAGCAAGATTCAGGAGTGCATCAGCAGGAGATCGAATCCCGGACCACTTGTTTGGTGGTTAGCCAGTGTTCTATCACTAAACCACTGAAACTAACATTACTGTTAAAAAGTATCCAGACCTTATTCCATATAACAAAGGTAAATAAAAATCGATAGAGGAAAAAGAATCTCACGTTGTAATCAAGGTGGTATGAAGGTCAACCACCTAGACATGTTTAAACTTGTTTCACCAATGTTTATGTGAAAGAAAAACCTATTGATAGATGATTATAATTTTGTTAAATATACTACACATACTACTAATGTATTCACGTTTGTTACATTTTTAAGTCCTATATATTGTCAATGTGTGTAGATCATCAACATATAAACATCCTAAGGGGTTAATGGAATTATAGGGCTCAGTCAAAAGACAGCTCTATAAGTACGAACTAAAAGATACAGATATGATAGAGAAGATTTGTAGCTCAGGTGGATAATTTTGATGTGGTTTTGTTCTCTGAGCTGGATAGTTAGTTTGAGAAGCTTTCATCACCTTACTGGGTGACATCTTCAGCGCATACTTCAAATTGAAGTGAGCTTTTAGGTTTCTCCACGAGTTTATTAGTCATTCCTCCTGGTGACCTTGAACGTGATTGGTTGTTTATGTATGTTTTCACACCTT